GAGGGGGGGGGGGGCACCGCATGGCGTTCACCTGTCACAGATCATATCGACTGGCTCGGCTGGGAAGTCAAATCGGTTGATCCAGTTGCCTTCTCACGCCACTGTCAGTATGAATGGATTCATGCGTGTATGGGTTTCTGACCACCCATGACATCACGTCACATGTCTGTCTGTCTGTTTGTCTGTCGCTCCTCGACCTGACGCGACCCACGTCTGACTGATCATGTGCGACTGAGCAGACAGACAGACGTGGCGGCAGCTCTGGGAGCGGGCAAAGGGGACCTAGATTCATTTGTTGAGACACACGCAGACACACATTGGGGGCAGAGGCAGATGGATTTCTGCATTTTCTGCATGCGTCGTGGGGTTGTGGACGGTCTTTCATTCATTCATCCATACACAGAATACATCAACCACTGACTGGACCAGTCCCACATGTGCATAACCAAGGCCAACACCACGGCCAACATCACATCACACTCAAACAGAAGACTAAATGGGAAACCGTCTCGAAACAGTTCATCTGCATCACAACACGACTCATACATCCCATCCCATCCCACTCCACCCCATCCCATACCATCACATCACATCACACCCCGTTAGCCCGTTCCCTGGCCTGCACGAACTTCTCAGGCACCTGTTCCACCCACCCACACTTCTTGCACGTCCTGCGGCCCGCGTCAGGTCCGTAGTAGGCCTCGATCACCGGCTTCAGCTGCTTACCTGCATGTATGTGTGTATGTGTGCAGTCAAGTGGGGCCAGGGGAGACACACGAACAGACCGGTGACTGCATTGAGGGGGGTCTGTTCTCTTCCTGTGTTTCGCGCAGCTAGGTACCCAGGTCGGTGCAGTGGAATGTGTCTTGGTAGATGAGGGCTTTGCACAGCTCGCAAAACCACGTCAGGCGGTCATGCTCCTGACACCACACGCAGGCATCATTTCCACAAACATACACACACATGGCCCATCGATTGATTGACTTGCGACGTTCGTGAGGAGGCCTTTCTTGTGTCCGTTCGTGTGGTTGGCTACCTCATCGGGCCTTCGATCTCTCTCGATGACCAGCCCAACCGACCCCTCGGAGCGCTGACACACACACACACACACACAAACCATTGAGCACGCTCGATGGCTGCTCTGTCTGCTTCCTTCCCCCGTCCCTCCCTCTGTCCGTCCAGCCAGCCAGCCACCTGAGGCGAGTGGTAGACTCTGGGCGGCAGCATGTACATGTCGCCCTCGCGAATGTGCACATCCTCGAAGCGCATCTCGCCGGTGGTGGGGTCGTCGCGTGCCACCTTGAGGCACATGTCGCCCTGCAGCTGGAAAAACCACTCCGGACCCACCTCCCAGTGATAATCCGTACGCGTGTTGGGACCTGACACACACAGAAACACACACAGAGATACAGAGGTACGCTCGCCGCTTCCATCTACTGCGGAAAGCCTCGTTTGTGTGCTGACCTCCGACGACCATGACTTTGAACTCCCCCTCATTGTAGATCATCTTGTTGCCTGCACACACAAAACAACAGAAAGCACTGGGGGATCTGCCTGCGGCTTGTTCTCGCTGACCAACGGGCGGTTTGAGCTGGTCTCTGTGTTTCTCCAGAAACTTCCAAAAGTTGAAGGGCTGAAAGCCCTCCATTGGCGCGATGCTGTTCCAACAGGGACTGCTCCGCTTACGAACGATTTTTTCTTCTACGAACGATCGTTTTGCAGCTCGCAGGGCCCCAGCAAACGACTCGTATTCAGCGGACGGCCGTGGGTTTCGGTCTGGAGGCCTCGTGAATGTGTTCCTTGGGTTCCTCTGTGCATGTGGAGCGTGCGTGGGTGATTCCTGTTGCGTGTCGTCGTTTGACTGTGCGTGAAAGACATGGGACTTGGCCGTCTGGCCGCTTAGGACATTCTGTGAAACCGCTCCCCTCGACGGAACTGTTCGGGGGGACCTTTGTTCCTTGCAGATGTTTTTGACTGGAGCTACGGGCGCTACAGAGGCCTCATCGTCGTCTTGGTATCTCCAAGTCGAGCCGCGCAGGTTCTGTCTTCTGAATGCGCAAGTGCTCGGCGACTATGAGCTGCAGGCGCTGGCAGACAAGCTACGACGGCTGCTGGACTTCAACGGGTGCGCTGCCCTGTTCGGCGCATCCCGCACAATCGCATTCAGCACCGCCATCGCCGACAGCATCGAGAGGGGCGTCGCCGAGCTTCTCCGCCAACACCACCTGAACCGAGTACTGACGTACGAGCCTAGCGACCGGCCGGGGCAGCAGATGAGCCGAGTGCACTACCTAGTGCGGCTCTGGTGGGTGCTGGCTTACGGCGGGCAGTGGGCGGAGAATGTGCCCATCCTCCGCATGGCCAAGAGCGCTGGCCGCGTGGCGTCCCTGCCTGTGCGTCTGACGGCCGCTGACGTCAAACGGGCTAGCGACGACAAGGCCCTCTACCTGAGCCGACCGGACGCCGTGCGCCAATACTCCTTGTATGGTCATCGACTTGGTCGTGAGGGGGAGATGGAGCTGACGCGCTGGAGAAGCATGCGGGGGTACTCAGTGTATAGCCATCGGCTCAGCCTCAGAACGGAGCTGGCGCGAATGGCAGACGGGCAGGAGGCATTGGGATGGACTGGTGTGATCCTGTACACACAGCAGACGGTGCCGCGCGAGTACGCCTCTCGATTCGATCCAACAGACCCGGCCTGCACATGTATGTATGCACGTATGTATGGGAACGGAGGGTGAAACATTCATATGGAAGTCGCGCTTGATGTGAAGGGCGATCTCCGCTGTCTGTGCGTCTGCAGGCTCCGGTTGTGACTATCAAGGTTTCCGGTCACTGATTCACATGAGGTGTGTGCAGTGATTCAAATGAGAGAACAAACAAGACAGGAATGAATGTGCGGTGCCCTCTGTCTGTTCCTCTCTGCCCTTTCAGGATGGCCAACTTGAGTTCGAATGTGGTGTCGTTTCATGAGCACAGCAGTCAGCCGTCTGCCCCCGGGTACGATGCGATCGCCACTCTGATGCTCCGGCCGACACCCCTATGGGAGTGCCGCACTATCGACTACACCAGCGGCCTAAGCTCATTCCGCGTCGTCGTCTTGTGTGGCGACACTGATGGCGACGACTTCGTGGCGTACATCTGTATGGAGAGGCGGAGTGGGTGGTCATCCATCGTCTTGCGGACCACTGAGGTGCCTCAGGGCGGCGGTGCTGCTGACTTTCCCCGGACAAAGACCACGGCTCGGGAGAAGATGCGCGACGACATCAGACTCCTTGATGCAGTGATTCACTGAATGAGAAGTGATCCATCTCACAAACATGCCTCGTGTAACGCTGTTTGTGAGTTAAACTGAGTGCGCGAACTCCAGCCCATCCTTCAAAACGACTCTCACGGTGACCACCATAAGACATGCAGCGTTCGCGGCCTAACATCCTCGTGACTGGCACGCCCGGCACCGGGAAGAGCACCTTGTGCCAGCTGCTGTGCGAGCAGAGCGGGCTACATCACGTCGAGCTGGCCCGCCTGATTCGCGAGGAGCATCTGTACACCGAGTGGGATGATGAGATGAACTGCAGCATATTCGACGAGGACCTGGTGGTCAGCAAGCTGTCGGACTTTCTGCCCGAGGGCGGCCACGTGATGGACTTTCACTCGTGCGACTTTCTGCCTGTCGACTGGTTCGACCTGGTGGTGGTTCTGCGGACCGAGACGTCTGTGCTGTACGGGCGGCTGGAGCGGCGGAGTTACCCCGAGCGAAAGATCCAGGAGAACGTTGAGTGTGAGATATTCCAGGTGCTGCTGGACGAGGCCAAAGAGCACTTCGGCGCGGATGCGGTCATGGAGGCGTGGAATGACTCGTTGCAGCACCTGGATGCCAATGTGCAGCGAGTCATGGAGTGGCTCAACCAGTGGCAGGGACAGGTAGAGGCCGGCGGCTGATCGGTGATGAATCAACGGATGGATGGATGGATCGTTGGATGGGACGGTGGGTTGGTGACTGGACAAGGCAACAGGCAGGCAGGCAGGCATACAGGCAGGGGAAAAGGATAAAATGTGTTCGACAGATTCATTTGGTTTTTTGGTGTTTGTGAATGGACGGACACCCGAACGAACCGATCAATGCAATCACTGGACCGACCGAGCGCATTTGACATGCGACACACAGTCAGCCTCACAGCAGACACTGTCTTGAAGGAAACAGTCGACTCGTTCACGCACCGACGAATGTATCCGGACAGAGATATCTACACCTGTTTGTTCGTTGGGTAACGAACGAGTGAAGTGAGTGAGAAAAGATTGCATCCTTCCTTCCATGCATGCCGCGCATCAGTCAGTCAATCGAACATTTGGTCCAGCTCATCCTCTTCCATCTCGGCCGCCCGCTCCACATCCTGCAGCCATACACCCATCCCATCCACCCCACACAGGAATCAATGCATGTGTGCACACCAAGCGACCTTTGCTGCCTCCTCTCCCGATTGGTGTGATGTGATGCGATGGGTACCTCTCTGTGTTCCTTTGCGAGAAGCCTGCCGGCATAACTCTTGCCGTACTTGGCATGGAGCCTCCTGCGGATCTGGTGTAGCATGACACACACACATACGCGAAACAAACGCATGCCTTGATTGCATCTATCTGCATGCCATGCAATGCGTGTGTGTATACTGACCTCGATCGGCGAGACGTAGTGTGGGTTCTGCCAGAGCGTGGAGCCGCCGAAGCTGCCGCCGAATATGCGAATTGGATCCATCACAAAACGGGGACCTAAGCAAACAAGGGAGACAGCCAGTGGTCATGTGACAACACAAACCAGAACATTGAAAAACTCCTCTCCACCTTGCCTCCTCCCTGCCTGCCTGTCTGTCTGTGTGCGTTCGTGTGTGCATTGAATCCCCCTCTTGCCCACCTATCTCTGTGAGGACGGTGCGGTCAGGGTCTTCCCTGTCGTCTTCAGTCATCGGGGCAATCTGTCAGACCACAACGAATACATGGCATCCATCCATCACAGCACGACAACACAAGCGCCCATCGATCCATTGATTCACTTCACGCCCACCTCCCCTCCTCCCTACCTAGTGCGCGATTAGCCACCCACCTGGTAGTGTCTGAACCATATCTTATTATCGTGGAAGGAGAAGGCCATCACGTGGTCGAAAAAGGGCTTGGATTTGGGGTGATTACGCGGAGTGCCGAACACCTGAGTGGCCAAAGGGCGCACATACGACATACCACATGACACATGTACCAAGTTTTGTGTTGAACGAGGGAGGCATGTCTGTCTGTCTGTCTGTCCACTTCTCCACCTGCGCGAAGAGTTCCCTCAGCAGGGCGAGGGGCGGGAGAGTGTCGAAGTGGTGGTCGAACGACAGCAGCGGCCGCGAATGAAGCAGACAGTTGCCCGTCATCTTGAGCTCGCCAAGCGTGTGAACTGAATGCACGGAAGCATCACATACACGCGCCACTTAGTGCATGCACTCGCGAGGGACAGAAAGAAGGCGTCTACGTGTGCTTGGCGAGTACCGTTGAGTATTTGGAATTTGGCCGAGGGTCCGTCAGGCACTCTGCTGACCCACATGTACAGCTCGCGGCCCTTGCGCACCTCCAGGAACACACAGTTGTTGCACCTGACAAGAACCACCTCAGCCGGGTTGCACACATCTCGGGTGTGCTGTACTGTTAGGTGTCGCCTACGATTTCAGTTCGCACAGCTCGTTGACGTCCCTCAATGTCTGCTTCTTCTCCCACTTGGCCTGCGTCAACACAACACACACAGACACACAGACACACACCACACACACACAACACTATCACTCGCCTCATGAATGATCCATTCATTCATCCAAGCTTCATGCATGTACTTACATGAGCCTCTGTCTGTGTGTGTGTCTTTGCCCACCTCGCTTTTCGAGTGCGGCATGAGCCTTTTGAGGTCCTCCATGAGATGCCGGTACCGGTGCGTGATGCCCCGTGACGAGAAGACCAGCGTCCGCTGTTTGTTCTTCCACTTGGTGTCACGCACCAGGTAGGACGCGTCCTTCAGCAGGTAGGGGTCGGGATCAGCTCCGTCACCGGCGGCATCCAAGGCTGAAGTCGTCAGATCTTGCCCATCTTCATCAATCGACGACATGTGTGACAGATGCAGTCGAGCGCAAGTGCGAATCCCTCAGCTGCTGCGCTCTCAAAAGCATTGTAAGCTCGCACATTGTAAGCTCGCGAATGTTTGATGTGCCAGCCCCGCTCACACGTCGATTAAGCCGAACCAAGCTGCAGTTCAGGCTTCAAAAGACAGGCCAGTGGTTCAACGCGTTGGGAGCGTCGATCAGCATGGAGAAAGATCTGAGCCCTCTGCGTGTGCTGACGACGTCCAAGAAGAGCGAGGAGTTGACGGGCGTGCTGTACGAGCAGGGCGTGATCTTCGATGGGTCGAAGCTCATCATGCTGCTTGAGAGAGACGAGAAGGTGGTGGTCGACTACCCGTGCTACGTGACGGCGGCCAGCCATGGCGCCAAGGTGACGCACGAGGTCAAATGGGCTGGTCACGAGGTGCACGTCAGGCCGTCGCACCTCACAGACAAAACCATGGTGGGCCCAGGAGATATATATGAACGGATGGCAGACTCAATCATGGCAGAGGCGTGTGTGGGTCCGGGGGTCTGTGTTTGCAGGTGGTCATTGACGCCAGCACGCCCGGGTAATGAATGAAAAAATGGATGGATGGATGGATGGATGGACGGATGAACGGATGAATGAACGAACGAATGCCATGACCGCACTTGACTCATACGAAGGTCATGCCACATGAAATTTTCCATTTGTGCGCGTATGTATCCATCAGGTTTCGTTTCTTCCCCATGCCCCTCCCAGAGCATCGGGTCATTTACACCAAGGACGGCCTTGCTGTAGTCATGCGCACCGTCACGGCCACAGGCGCATCCTCCTCAATGCTGAGTGGTGACGTCAAGGTCAAGAAGGTCTCCAGCACGGCACTCCCATACCGAGTCTGCAACCGCTTCGAGCTGGACCGCACAGACAACCGGTTGCAGGCCTCATCGGACCAAGCAGCGGCTGATGTGTCGCTGAAGGAGAAGAGCGCCGCGTGGAGCTATCTGTATGTGAGGGGGGACGACAGCGTCATGAGGATCACCCTGGCCAGCAAACAGCACATCGAATTGCATTCGGGTGGGTGGGTGGGTGGGTGAGGGCGGGGGATGGGGTGGCTGGGCAGACAGCAAGGCAGACCATGCACACCTAAATGGATTGATGGATTGTCTGTGTGGCTGGGTGCGCTGACTTCCTTCAGGTGTGCTGATAGCTTGGACGAATGAGATAGGGTTTCACTTCAAGGGCGGCTTGTGCTGCCGTCGTGTCGTCAGCGGCGTCGAGGGGCCTGGGGTTGTCTGGATCGCATCCCCCAGAATTTCGAGGCCATTCGTTCGCACCACTACCGCTGTCGATCCAGTATTCTAGCCAACTCACCCAATTAACAGCGGCCAGACAGACAGACAGACAGACAGACGATCGTATCCAAGATGAGTCAGGGAGAGTACTGACTCGGTTCTGTCCTTTGTATTGTGCATGCCTCGGTTGAAGGATGCCTGCTTTCTGTCCATACAAGTCTCTCACTGGGTTTTGACCAACTTGTCACGATCCGCTTGGATGCCTGTGTGGACAAATGTGTGTGGATTTGCATGGAGTCCAACCACCAATGCTTTGGTTGAGGCACAAACGAAATGAAACGGCCAGGTCTCTCGCATCCCATCCTTCTGTCCCCGCCACACAGCCATACATTGCCGAGCAGCCAGCCAGCCAGCCAGCCAGGCAGACAGACAGCCAGACGTTCTCACACGCGCATTCACTCACACACAGCCGATCTCTCCTCTATCTGTTCCCGAATGCATGGCTTTTCTTCGCCAAAGGAAAAAGGGGCATGCGGGGCGGCCGAGCCGTGCCTGCAGCGATAATTAAACGAAGAGACACATCCATCCGTAGATAGGGCGTAGGGAGGAAAGCATGCGACTGCTACAAACTTACCTGGTGATTCGTGGGTATGTGCACTACCATACGCACGCGAGTCGCTTGTTGAAGAAGCTGCCACTCTTTTTGCAGGTGCACGTGAGAACGTATTCAATGCCGATGTTGACTGTGGCGCAGGCGTCGCCCTCTTTCTTGCCGTCGCACTTCCAGTCTTCACCGCACCCCATGGTGTTCGTGGCACCGCGGAGCAAGAACGAGGACGCGTCATCTCCCGGCGCCATTGCAGACGTGCCTGCATGCATCGAGGCAATGCAAACACGAGGCATGCATGCGAGTGCATATATATTTGTGCCGTCACGGTGATGGGTGGACGTTTGGTTGTGAACCTACTGTTCGGGAGCAGCAGCGGGGGGTGCACCGTCATCACTCCTGGCACCAGGACCAGGAGGGCCACAAGGACCGTCGCGCTGGCAATCTTCGGAAATGCAAGCGGAAATGCCATGGATGGGGGCAATGATAATGCGCCTGTGGGGGCAGGCGCCGGGAGCAGCTGAAAACTAGGAGGGAGCTACCGGGAACAGTTTTGCGCGGGGCAGCGAACACGAGCCGGCTCCAATGGTTGACGATGCTCTCGCGGAAAGCTGTGTCCTCCTCCGTGGGAATGGATGTGGGGCGAGGCTTTCCTTTGGCGAGCATCTTGAGAAGGTCCATGGTCTTCTCTCCCATCCGACGAATGTCTCCGCAGAGAGGCACGAAGCAGAAGCCGGCTGCTTGGGTGGTTGCTCCTCTCAAGGCTTGCCTCCAAGAAGTCTGTTTTGTCATGAATTCGTGGGTCCATCGTGCATGACCTTGAAGTCGTCAAGTCCATGCGTCGACCGCTACCCTGACCTCATCCGCCTCATCCCGACTGGCCAATCGGAAATCCCCCACAGTCGATTCGTTTCGATCGATACGCTTCCGTATCTGGTTTCGACGTCGTGAATGGCGGCTTTCACTCATTCCTCGGTGGCTGAGAGGATGCGGAAGGGACGGTTCTTGCCATGGGGGAACACGGGCGGTGTGTCTCGTGATATTGTAACCATTGTTTGTCATCTGCGAGACACGACCGGTTTTGCCACGCAACAGAGCGACGGACCGAAACACATCTTCGTGTCTCACTTCAGGTGCGGACATGATTGACCTGACGGTGGAAGCCGACGACGGCGCCGCCGAGTCGCCCAAGAAGAAACAGGCTGACAAACCCAGTGCCGAGAAGAAGGTGTGAGATGCATGTGAGTGAGATGGATTCAGGCGGCTGGAGCCGTCAGGCTCATCAGCGTGCTGTCACGCCCATCGGAGAGATGTCACGCCCGTCGGAGATATGTCTTTCTGCCTCAGCGAGTTGTCTGGACTCTGGAGCTCGAGAAAGCTGTCTTGCTTGCTGATGGCTTTTTGCAGCCGTTGCTGCCTTCTCCTGCCGATCCAACTTTTCGCACAGGCCTTTCCTTGTCGTGGCACGGAAGCACAACCGTGTCTTTTTTCGAAGACGGTGTACACGAGTACATAAGCCGATCACTCCCTGAGAGCGTTAGAGGGCCTTGCCTTCGTGCATCACAGTCCCTTTTCCAGTCGTAGCATTAGCATGTCAGAGAGCCTCAGCCCCCTCTCTGGTAGGTTGCTGGCGCCATCAATGAGAAAGCCGAACAGCTGCCCGACAGTCATGCCCCGTTGCTTCACCAGCGACTGGATGTGGCTCAGCTGCTGGCGGTCCAGCTCACTGTCCCAATCGATGCCCATTGAGCCGGGACACCTTACAAGTAATTCCCTCTCGCAACAGGAAGATGCTAGCCACAGGAGAAAGAATCTCAGCTGAGGGAACCCGCCATAAATAGCACCGCAGCCTGGTGGATACGCGAAGAGAGGCACCTGCCGAGACGACCAAGGAGAGACGCGAGGTAGTGCACGGTTTGAGGAAGACAGACAACACTTGAGGTGGCTGTCACCACACCTTTGGTGGCAGCGGCAAGGCCGTTTTGTCCGAAGACGGGCTCTTTGGTGATTCAGCCCTCCTCTCCTCAACTACAATACACATGTCATACGTACGTACACACTTGAGTGTCTCTCCAGCCAGTCACACTGCAACAAATATCGTACCTGGCGGCTTTTCTGCCCCGGCGGGTGCGGCACTGACGTCAGCGCTGTATACATAGGTAAACATGAAAGAATTCTCGGCCGGCATCGATGAGGCACTGGTCCATGTACCTCTGCTGTTCGCCTGGCTGCGGGCTGTCCTTCCTCTCCTCAGCCACTGCAGGCTCTGCTGATGCAGCCGGGGCCGACTCGGCGGCCTCGCCCTCGTGCTGCGGGGGCGGCCACGATTTGTTCGCCGTTGTCCCGAGAGTGGGATGCACGGCAATATGGATAGCAGCCAACTCAGATAAGATGTCAGTTGGCTGCAAAGTACATACGTGAGGTGTGTGTGTACATGTAAGGTTTGCGGCCGTGTCATCACCGAGAATTGTGCGAGTGGCTGGGTCTTATAGGATTTGATTTGATATACAGCCATTTCCCTCTGCACATGACCGTCAGTGGTAGGCGCACACTGAAGGAAACAGTACAAACACACTTCAATGGAGTAAGTACGGATCCTCCGTGTCTTCCCTCGTCTGAATGCTGACTCACCTCATCCACGTAATCGCCAAGCCATCTGAGAGACGCTCCAGACCCCTTGAGCAAGTTGTACCTGCATGACGTTCATTGTCAATCCGGTGCAGAAGTGGGATGGGTCAGTTACCTTTGAATGCCCGACACCACCACGCACTCGCTGGCTGAGAGCTTCTCCACCAGGACCAAGCCAGCCAACATCGAAGGGTACTCCATCATCCTGAAGCAGAATGTATGCTAATCCCGTCTTTGGCGGATGGATTTGACACATCTCACAGGATCTCATCGCTGTCGGCGCCCATTTCGAGCACGGAACCGCCCAGCCTAAAGCACAGACAGCATTACACTCGATCAGACAGACGGAGACAGGCACAAGTAGGCACTTGATCTGTCCACCGTACCTAGGTGCGTGGCTGTTGATCAGCCTGGAGTTTCTGGAACTGTCTTTGTTTGCATCGCAAGCATCAACGTCATCAACAAACTGCAGTACAAGCCATCGAATATGTATCACAATTCACTGACTTTTGTCTCTTGCAGACCTTGAATGCTAACAGTTGCTGCGGGCTTTCCCACAGCTCTTCGTACGCAGGAACACTCGACGACAGCACTCGGCGATGAAATGTCACCAAGCGGTCTGCCAGCCACGCACCCGGCGGTTGAGGCGTGGCTGGGGGTGTCTCTGCCTCCCCCTCAGGCAGCGTCTGATTGCCAGCGCCTTCAGCCGGTGAGTCGCCTGCTGGCTGGTCCTCGCCCTTGTCTTGGGCATCAGGGGGGTTCAGCAGAAGCGAAGCTTCGGCCGGAGTCAAGCATCTTCGGAAGTAGTTGAGAAGACAGCGGAGCTTCGTGGCCTGAGTTCTCAAATTCCCCGACGTCTGCAGAGACACGGATGGCGTATGACCTTTAGAGCGAGATCAACGACGATACCTCACCGAGCGCCAGTATTTTCTATTTCCGTTTCCGAGGCACGACACACAGCCAAAGATTATCCGTTTTTCTGTGCCACCTTAGCCCGATCCATCGATCGATGTACCTGAAGTTGAGTGACTGCAGTTTGTCGGAAGGCTCGGGTAAGAGACACAGGAAGCCCGCACTGATGAGGGTCAGACACTGACGCTCGGTGAGGACCTCTTGTGTCCTCATGCCCTTGCGCAGTACCGCTATGGGCTGACAGTCAAGACATACACAGAAGCACAACCTAAATGTGGCTGGACAAATACTTGCCCGTGGGAACAGACTCTTCATGTCCAGCAGCAGAGCGGCCTGGACCGGAAGGATCTTCTCGAGGTACTCCGTCGAGTTGACCGAGCCACTCACTGGAGACTCGACGCACTGCGCGTCAAGACAGTCAAAGACCGGCTCCAAGGCCTGGAACTGGCTACGGGATTTCATGCATCCTGCGGCAACGTACATCCAACGTGCAAGACCCACGGGGATATTTGACTGACTAGTACCGCTTGAAGTCGCCATTTGGGTGAGGCCTATGAATGCACACACATTGCAAAATGGATTCTCATTGCAGTACATGTACAAACGAAACCACCGACATTCTCGGAACTGGGTGAGTGTCCCGATACGGCCGGTGGCGATATGGCGGAGGTCACCTTTGACCCGCGACCAGTAGCTCCTGCAGTGCAAAGAAGGCCGAGAGCGGCTGTGCAAGCTCCCATGTCTCTCTCCTGATCTCACTTGTGGCAGGGAAGCACAAGCACGTCCCTCTTCGAAGACATTCCGCCACTGCACGACTGCGGACGCCGAGTGCGAACCGGCAGAGATCGGTGCTCAACGAGCGTTTCTAGTGCCTCTTCGGTGTTGTTGAGGGAGAGGTCGACACATGGACCACTCAATATCCTGCACCCAAAAGACGAAAAGGCAAAGACATGTGGTTTCTGCGTGGCAAAACAACGCTGCTGGGTGTGTGGGCATGCGTACAAGGGGAAGAAGAGGAAGTGAGAAGAGTCGTTGCCCACAGAGGACGATTAGTTGTTAACACTGAGTGGCTGACGAAAGGGCGCTTGGGGGCCGGAGCACGCACACCCCCCCGCTCACCAACTTGAAGGTCACGGCAACCCTAACTCTCGGACCGCCGATGGCGACCAGCATGCCTTCCTCCTCATCTTGCTTGCCACGAGATCTTCGCCTACTGCCCTTACCGTGGGCACTCCAGCTGCTGATCTGCCTCACGCCCATCCATGCCTCACTGTCCCATCCCCTGTATCCCAGCAGAAACCTCGTCCCAGCCTTCATCGGCAGCAGATCTGGGCGGTTTCCCCATTCACCATCGCAAACACAGGCATTCGACGCGCTGGCCTGCAGCAGGAGTCGAGAGCCGGCGTGCCATGAAGACGACGGGAAGAAGGGCGCCTGCGCCAGTCGGTGCCCTCTGGATGAGGAGGGCTCGTCGACCGGTGACTTATGTGTGTTCGGTTTGGGGAAGAAGCGGCGAGGGCTGACGAACAGGAGGCGGCGAAGGAAGGGGGGAATTCTGCCAAAGGTGAATTTCGGCGGCCGGCGATTCGGGCGGAGAAGCCGGTTGCATCGGCGTGTTGTGCTGCTCGAGTCCCTCAGGCTCATGATCACTGGAATGGCATGGGTACGCAAGTCCACGCATGGTGCAAGCAATGGTCATCGTGTGGGTGCTGTGGGTGCTGTTCCTGTCAGCTCTTCTCGCCGGAGCAGTCGCTGATGCTGCTCTTCACTGGCGACGTGCTGTATAACGTCTACTTCGAAGCACTCACCAAAATCACCGGGTAAAGGAAAGGGAAAGACGACCGCGAAGGCATTCTCATCAACCACATCGGTGTGTGCGCCGTATGTGCATGTTGGATGTGGGTATTGATTGATGGGTGTATGGTTCAGGAGTGCGTTCCTGGCTGCGGGCATCTTGCTGTACATGTACCAGGAGGGTCTGTGGGCGTCTCGCATCATATCTCTGGGGTTTGCCTGGGCGACGGTGAATGCCGTGCTCATGCTCTACTACTACGCCCACCTCACCCCGCTGGCTATCGCGGGTGCCATGTGGAGCATTCTGTCAGGTGGCCTGTCAACAAACACGGCATTCATTGGAAAGCCACGACGTATGCCTGTGTGGGTGTGCGCCGGTGGCTTTCAGGTCTGTATCTGGCGCTGATATGATCGGTGGTGCGCCGTCCTCGCCTGTGACATGAAGACGCGCGGACACAAGCATACATATACCTTGATGCCGACCTGCCTGTGGTATACGTATATAGCGTGATGTTCTGATGGTGTGTACAGACGTCTATATATGCGAGTGAGGTGCTGCGAGTTACTTTTCTCCATTGTGTTTGTGCGTCAGTTTGCGCACCACGCGTGGATTGCGTGGATTGACTTTATGCCCCCCCGGGCTGCCATTCGTGTGGTCGTAGGAAAACACCGGAGAACGAAATCACCCCTCCTGTAGGACTAACGATTTCGATTCGGTTTCGATGATTTCCCTCTGGGGTTTAGGGTTAGGGTTTAAGGTCTCAAACCCTATAGGTGAAACCCAACCAAAATCCTTCCTTCGTCGTCGGCGGCTAACGACGTTCGATTGTACACTTATGTGTGATTCCACATAGAGAGTGGGTTCCCGTGGAGGGCTGCCATTCGTGGATGTGGCCGTACGGAACCCCTCAGGGCCCAGGCGTCATCTATCCTCCGCCTTCCTTCGCGCCTTCCTACGCGTTGACCCCTGATGTTGTTCGACAGGATGTGGTTCGTCGACACACAGCAGTCGTCGGAGGAGCCCCTCGGCCTCAGGCATACCAGCGTATGGCAGTCCACCACCCCACCATTGCCCACCCTCAACCCGTCGTCGGCGCTCCGCCACCGTCATCGCAGTTTCAACGGACGGCTCATCATCGCGCATCCAGAGCTCCACCCCAAAGTGTGCAGGAGGATTCCGAAGAACAGGAGCCTCAGGAAGAGGAAGAGGAAGAGGACGATGCCGTCGCAGTGGGAAAGACAGCCACCGGCAGTGAGCGAAATCTTCAGACAGAAAGCGGGCCGTCCAGCTCGTTCCCCCGATGACGCTTCTTGTGGTTGCAGATTTGAGTCTAAGGTTGCGCTTGGACGATGACTCACTCAGTTGGCCAGGTACGCGTGAACTTGACGGAGTTGAAACAATCCCATGACTTTCTACGCACACACAGAGGTAGAGTTGCTCGAGAAATTCTCCGAGGGGTACGTGACATAACACATGGCATTGTCCCCGCCTCCGGACATGGTGTAAACCTGGCTTTGAGTGTGCTGCTTTCTTCAGGTCGTTTGGAATGGTGGGGAGACACACTACACAAACAGGCATCCGAGCCACAACAAGAGCCGTTCTTTGCTTCTTCCCGTTTTCTTGTAGGTGTACAGAGGACGCTTCCGCGGCCGGGAGGTCGCTGTGAAGAAGATGATATTTGTCTCCGGTCCGATCTACAAAAATGACGAGCGATGATGCTTTGATTGTCTTTGATGTTTTTACTTGACCAGGCGAGGCAATGACAAAGGAGAGGCTCAGGAACGTGGCAAGAGAGCTGAACTCGTACAGGTAAGAAAAGGAGCGTGGCATAGGTACATGAGAAAAACAGCATGTCTCCGCCGGGCGTTCGGACGTGAATGCAGACGCTTGAGGCATCCCAACATCGTGGGTTACTATGGTGCGTCAATTATATGAATGCATCCATGTGAAAAACTCAAATTCGGTGTCCAGGAACTGTTAATGACTGGCCGAATCTGGGCCTGGTCACGGAGCTCGTGAGAGGAGGTAATAACTGGCGCTGTGCACACACCCACCACCTGTCATTCCTGTATGTCTATCAATTCTGGTGTTTTGAAGGGAATCTCTTCGAGGTAATCACATTAAGTACACACATGTAAAGATTATGCCCAAATTCAGTGTCTTCTTCCTTTCAGTTGATGTATGAGAGAGGCGTCGAATTCAGCGCAGCCGATCGGATTAAGTTCGCCAATCAGCTGACCATCGCTGTCTGTCACCTCCATGCAGCAGATCCAGTCGTGGTATGAGCATCACACGTCTCCCTCCGCGGCACGCAAAAGGTGCACTCTCTTGTTATCCACAGGTTCATCGTGACCTCAAGACAGGTGGCTTGCTCGTCGTTCTGAGGTGCTTTCACATCGCTGTCTCTCACTGCCGCATTAACAGAGAATTGCCTGATTGACCACGACGGGACGCTGCGAAATTGCCAGCTCAAGCTGTGTGATTTCGGTCTGGCTCGGACGATTAGGGTAAGGGTGGTTGGCAGATGCAGTCACTCGAAAGCTTCGTAGCCTGGTGACGACTTCGTGAGCTGCCTTTATCCTCTTCAGCGCGGAGACTCCTTTTTGATTGAAGAGAACAGTGGGTCACCGAGGTACGTACGGCTGCCACATAATGTAGGTAGGTAGGTATTCGTTTATCCATCAGGTACATGCCACCTGAGGCATTTCGCAAGGGATCAAGGGGTACGACCGCTATTGACGTGTGGAGTCTGGCCTGCTGTATCATCGAGATATTCGGAGGTGAATGGGAGCTGCATGGATTGTATTCTATGTATTGTCAAGTAGCGAACAGAACGCCTCTCATTCGCCTTCCCTCGTTCTGTCCAGGTCCGCTTCCATTCGAGAATCTTCCCAAGATGCAGGACGTGATAATAGAGATCATGTCCAGGGGCGGGGTCCCAGTAAGACCTGCATGTGTCCCACTGTCTTGACCCATCTCTTTTGACTCCCCCACATCAAGTGCACCTCATGTCTCAGAAGGTGCCCTTCTGGTTTCCCACTTTCTTCAAGAACATCCTCCACAGAGTGAGTCCTCCATTGAGATGCTCGCAACGGCTCGTCCCGTGCTTGGCTTCTGTCAGTGTTTTTCGAAGGATCCCACTGAAAGACCGACAGCGGCGGAGTTGCAGATGTGCCTCAAGAAGCTCTCGCTGCGCGTGGTCAAGCAATACGGTGCGTACTGGAGCGATCAGAGGTCAGGTCGACGGATACAAGACCTGTTGGCTGTGGGCTTGGTGTGTGTGGGTACAGGGATGGACCATCGGCACGAGCCCCTCTAATCTGGACATACGTAGAATATAGCATGTGGGCCCTACATAGTACTCTGTGCTGTGCTGGCTGGTTGGTGTGGCATGTATACCTGCGGTATAGACCTCTCTCGTGTCCACAACACACATCACCTTCGGTGTCTATGATCGGATTTTGTGCAACACTATCCAAGAAGGACACCTTTGATTCACGCACCAGCGCTAAAAATCACACATGTACAGTAACTTCAAGCGGCAAGAAGAGATAAGGCGGCTTTAACGTTCTGTTCATACGCGTCTCGCCACGAAGGACTCGTGTCACATCACATGCGGCCCCTTCTGCTGCGAAAAAAAAGGAAGAGGGAGAGAGGGAGAGAACACGCACACGCCACACAGGCACAGTCTCACAGATGACAGACCGACTAAGACAAGGGGGGAAGGACAAGCAGGTAGGAAGGCAGAAGGCCTCGCTTTGCATGGGCCAAAAGCGCAGAGGGACGCGCAGACACGGCGAATCGATTGGCAGGTAGGGCGGTCGAGCAGAAGCGAAACACACACATCCATCCCTTCATGCATGCGATTGAGACTGGTGTCTCATGTAGCACATACTGCACGCACACACCGCACACGCAACTGGCAGGCAGGCCATCTACAGGCCATCATCGCATAATGACACACACGACAGAAAGACGGAAGGGCAGCCCGGGTCTTTGCTGCAGCAGCAACAATCCGCCGCCCGACACGACACCTGCACAGAACACACACGCAGACCCTGGGATTTGCCTGGGAGGCCCCCTTGCTGCTTTGCACTGTGGTTGTCGGTGTGCGAGACGGCACTGTGATAGAGTGTCATGACGAAGGCGGAGGCGACAAGCAGCATGTTCGACAACTGCATTGACAGGGGAAAATGCCACGGTTGCGAAGAGGAGGGGAGCAAGAAGCACCGGCTTGGCCCCCATTGGGCCCCCACGAGTCTCACGAAAGTGGTCCCCTTCGTCATCGCGCGAAGGACCAGGAGAAGGCATTATCATGAAGAAGTTCACGTCTCTGTTCTCTCGGAAGAAAGACCCGCTGTTGGCTGCCGACGAGGAAATGCATTTTGATGTGGTTCCCATGGGTGGAAAGAAGCAGCCCAAGGCGACAAGCACACCTCCCAGCTCTCCCGGCAAGGCATCCGTCATGTCAGCTGGACACGCCCATCCTCCACAACCGGCGGAAGATGCGCCCAAGGGCATTCTGGAGAAGTCTATTGCCATAATGGAGGGCAAGTATGTGCAGACCATCATGACGCTGACGACTGTGTTTGCCTTGTTTGGGGAGGACATGCGGCTGTACAGCTTCCCCAAGTCAGCCGACCACTACTTCTACGCCCTGTTCATCTTTTCGCTCCTTTGCTTCGCCACGGAGCTGACGATCAACTCGATCATCCAGGAGGGCTACAAGTGGTCCTTCTTCTTCTGGCTGGACCTCGTGGCCACCCTCTCGCTCGTACCGGACATCAAGTACTTCATCGACCCGGTCAACTTCCTGCTTGGCATCGACACCTCCACATCTTCGGTCAACGCAACCGCCGCTAGGGCAGGACGCGCATCCAGAGCTGGTATGGATGGATGGAGATATGCCATATGTCATTGTCATCGATATTATGGTATTCCACGTACATGCATGTCTTGATCGGTCAGGCACTCGCGCAGGCCGCATTGTGCGTCTGGTCCGTCTGGTGCGGCTCGTGCGAGTCGTCAACGTCACCAAATGCTGCTCGAGGTCGGCCAGGGGCAACACAAGGCGGACGACACAAGGTGTCCTTCTCAGAAGTGCGTCTCTCTGTTCCGTTACGTGATGCGTGGATGGATGGGTGGGTGCAGGGAGGCCGAGCTGACTGAGGAAGAGAAAGAGCTCAAGAGACTCGAGGAAGAGGAGAGACAGAGAACCAAAGTGAGTAAGATCGATCGATCCCTGATCACATACACTGACGCGGATTGTATGTACTGTGATTAGAATGCACACGACGCACAAAGACGGGTGGAGGCCAGCCGTTTAGGGAAGATTCTGTCGGAGCAGACCACTCGGCGAGTCATCATTGGGGTGCTGTGCGTGCTGTTTGTGCTGCCCAAGTCAGTCAGCCCTCTGTCACCTCAGATATGGACGTGACGTGACAGGGCTTCTGTTGTGGGTGGGTGGATGGATGCATTCAGCTTGTCTTATGAGGAGAGCGACAACAGTGGATACCACGGCCTGCAACAGCTCTTCTACTACGGCAGCAGCTTCTGCAACACTCCAAATGCCGACTTCGCGTGCAAATACGGGCTCCCACACTCTAGCAACGACTCGAACGGTACACACATGTATTACAGATGCCATGGAATGATATGGATTTCCTTTGCACGCATGGATGTACGCATACAGCGTGGTTGACGACCGAGGGATGGAGGTACATGGTGTATGCGTACGCGACGAGTTCGAAGACGCAGGGGGAGAAAGAGAGCTCAACTGGGGACCTGGCCAAGCCTCTCCTGTGGCTGCGCATCCCGGATTTCGAGGAGGGCGGCCGCATTCACGACATCCGGCGCGTTGAGTCCCCGCAGGGGACATGGGAAGCCGACGTCAAATGCGACTCCTTCCAAACACGAGATGAATGCAAGTGGAGAGAGAGTGAGGTAAAAACAGACAGACAGACAGACAGACAGAGGCAGGGAGGGAGGGAGAGATATACGCTTACAGAAAGGAGACAGTCTATGTCTGCAGGTTGAGTTAGTGGTTTTCACGCCCGAGGAATGCCTGAGCAGCAATGCATGCCGAGAAATCAATGTTGCCGCCAAATTTCTCAAAAAGTGAGGAAGGATGAGGGATACTTCCTCTATCTGCCTTCCTCCGTTTCGCATGCAATCGATCGACCAGGGACTACAGTGTGCAGTCGGCGGGCATGTCGATGCTGACGACCATCTTCATCGTCTTCTTGCTGGGGGCCGGGGCTATGACGTTCAGCAAAGACACACAGACACTCGTGAGACAGACATGCATCACACATATCAACACGGCTCGCACTGTCCACGAACTCGTGTGCGTGTGTATGTGCGTGTGTGGAGTAGGTGATCGAGCCAATCGAGAAGATGGTCAACATCGTCAAACAGCTTGCCGACGACCCACTCAACAAGCCGGAAGTGGTCGATGAGGACTACGAGGAATTCGCCGCCATGAACAGAAAAAAGGGCTCAAACCAACTCGAGACGAGCATGCTTGAAAACACCATACTTAAAATTGGAGGGCTTTTGCAGGTGGCTGCGTGGAGATTGCACTGTCCTTCGCTTTTTGTTTCAAAGCTTGTCAACTCCTCTACGCGTCGTCAGGTGGGTTTTGGTGAGGCGGGGGCCCCGATAATCGGGAAGAACATGTCGAATGAGTCGGGAGACATCGACTACATGATCCCTGGGCGAAAGGTGATAGCCATTTATGGCTTTGCCGAGATCCAGGACTTCCAAGACATCACTGAATGTCTCCTCGAAGAGGTGCATCCACGTGCACATCACGCATCACTAAGCCCATATGCGTATGTGTGTGCGTGGATTAGGTGATGGTGTTTGTCAACAAGATTGCGCGGATTGTCCACACGTGTGTGCACGAGTGGGGCGGGGCGGCAAACAAGAACATCGGCGACGCCTTCCTGCTCGTGTGGCTGCTTCTCGAGACAGAGGACCAGAAGAAGCTCATCGGTGTGTCAGAGTCCCGCCAGGGCACTCCTGTCAAGACCCCATTGGTTGATGTGGCCCCGCAAACACGGACACCCGAGGGCCACCCTAGTGATGATGAGCTCGGGCTGACGCGCACCAGAAGCAAATTCCTGGAGGAGAAGGACGTCAGCGAGAGAATGACCGAACTCGCCGACAGGGCCCTCGTCTCTTTTATTAAAATCATCGGTCGGCACGTACGAGCGGTGATTGACGCACACGTGGACAGAAGATGTGTGTGCTGTCATTAATTGATGCAGCTGAGATTCGTCGTGCGTCTGATTTGTCCGCATATGCCAAGCACCCGAAAATTATCCCCAAGTTTGGCCTCAACTATGCCGTCCATATCGGCTTCGGACTGCACTGCGGATGGTCTATCGAGGGTGAGTAACTAACCAGCCACGTCACGCAGCGCTTGCACCCGAAGCTGGAAAGTCTGGTCGGTCTTGTGTGTGCCGCAATTCAGGTGCGATTGGCAGTGAGTATAAGATCGACGCGTCCTATCTGTCTCTGCACGTCAACATCGCTGCCAGGCTGCAGAGCGCCACGAAACAATACGGAGTGGACCTGCTCATGTCACAGGTACGCATGTGTGGCCAGCTAGACCGATCCGAGATGGATAAAGGACTCGCAGCAGCTCGCTTCCCCGCTTTTCGTTTCTTGTCAGCACATGTACCAGACTTTGTCTCCCAAGGCCCGTGACAGGTGCCGGCAGCTGGATGTCGTGATGCTCAAGGGCACCAAGACACCCGTCGGCATCTTCTGCTTCGATGTCAACAAGAAAAGTGAGGATCGAAAACGACAGATGGTCTCACCATCCGCATGTGTGTTTGTGCTATGTCAGTATTCGCCACACCCGAGGGTCACATGGTGGGTCAGATGATCCCCCCCAACGAAATGACAATGGAGACACTCGCGGCCAAGGGCGTCGACTGGATGTTCCTCATGGTCAGTCAACCTGCCTTAGTGACAAGAGCGTACAATAGGCACTCAATCAACGGGCAGATACGTACAAACGTTGCCCACTTGCCTGCATGTATATGTATCCATGCACTTGCAGGACCAGGATATAGTGAATCTGCAGAAAGGCATATCCCTCGAGTTCCAGTCCACATGGCGGCAGGCCTTCGCCTTCTACATCGAGGGCGAGTGGACCAGAGCCCTCGAAATGCTGCAAAAATGCCTCGCACTCATGCCCGGTGAGTGATTGAGTGATCAGACAGACAGACAGACAGAGAGACACACAGACACAGCGCCTGTGGCATTGCTGTCGTGTCTGTGTATGTATGTGTGGTCGGCCTATCGCGCAGGTGACGGCCCAAGCGAGGCATTAGCCCTCTACATGGTGAGCTGACTGACCAGGAAGGGAACAATCGATTGCCCGTCTTTCTGTCTGTCTGGCTGTATGTCTGCGGCTGAAATGATGTGTGTGCGGATGGATGGATGGATGGATGCATGTTGTGTGCGCAGAAGTCACAAGGTACGCAAGAGGAGCAGGAACACAGGCTGGCGCCGCCGGCAGACTGGTCGGGATCAAGAGCACTCCACGCAAAGTGACTGACAGCGGGAGGGAGGGAGGGAGGGAGGGAGGGAGGGACAGGCAGTCCGTTGCGTCCACGTGTTTGTATCCTATCGTTCGCATCGATAGAGAATGTGAGACTGAGACATCGAATTGTCCTGCCGAGTGCCTTTTATGCATGGATCGACACAACAAGTACACTGTACATGTATGTGTACGCCATAACACACAAAAGCTGTCTCAGCTGGCGACAGCCGACGTCAGCTAATCGGAGTCTGGTACGAAGAGCCTTGGTAGCTGAGGACGTTGAGACATTGTTGAAGGGAACAGCCACGGCAGCCAACGTACCGGGATGTCCATGATGCTGACCACACAAATCGCGCAGCTGAGTACGGGAGTATGCGCTGAGAAGTGAGGTAGGCTGCTCGCGCATCCGTACCGGGGTACACGCGCTTTTTTTTTCCTGCCCTGAATTTTTTTCTCGGGGGAATTCCGTAGGCGTACGCGTGAGCTTTCTGTGAACAGGTGAAGGAACAGGTGGTAAACATTCGCCTTTGCTGTTTTACGGACAAGCCTGCCGAAGGGTGCTTCGCCACTTAACATGAAGACTGCCCGAGAGCCCGAGACGGAGCGCCGGTGAAGAGCTCGCTGCCTCCTCACCGCTCCCTCTGGTGCGTGACCTTTGCAGCTATGAGCAGGGAGAGATCTGGAACAGCATCTGCATCTGCATCTCATCCGCCGCGAAGCACGAGCCGCACCACACCCAGGACTTCCCACTCGCAGCCCGCAGCTCGTCCCACACTCATCGATGACGACAGCCACACCATCTGTGAGTTCCTAAGCACGCTTGTGCATTCACGAAGCGCCCAAGGGTCTGCGCTTCCTCCTGGCGTGGTGAGACCTGCGAACTCATTCATACGGATACGTTCATCAACGTGTCTGTGCCTGACAGAGGTCTCTGCATATCGTCTCGCATGTCCCGTCATCCGCAGACGACCAGTCGTTTCCCGCCATCCGCACCTCCCTCACCTTCGCCCTACCCGCCTCACTCAGACAACATGACAACAACTTGTGGCGCACACTGTTGTCGTCCGGCGCCGTCCTGTGGGGGTTGCCCTACCGCTTGCGCCCAAAGGCGACTGTGCTCAAGCAGCTGGACAGATGGGTGCGGCGCACTGATGTCGGCGACAATCGGTGTACGGGAGAGGCTGCCGGCCAGGGGATGGTGTGGCAGCCAGACGGCATGCATATCACAGGTTTGTTTGTCGGGTCAGGGAGGGACGGATGGAGGGGTTACAAATCCGGGCGAGGGTGTGTACTTGACTTGTGTATATACGTACGGACAGGTTTAAGTGGCGATCGGCAGAGTGTGTTTCGCGTCCCGTTGGCTGAGACTGGTAAGTAGATGCCACGATCGTCTATCCATGTGCGTGCAACAATGCGGCCTGCCTTACTGTTTGTCTGCCCTGGCTGCAGCCTTCACCCCTTCGCAACCACATGAAGTGTTCACCCATGTCGTGCCGGAGATACTCGTGCCCGACAGCACCAGCCCCATTAGCAAAGGTGATATATACGGACATGCAATCAGACAGACAGACAGACAGACAGGTAGACCGACCGACCCGTGTAGGTGGATGTGTGTGAATGTGTACAGGTGTTGATGGGAAAGAGGCCCATCTTGTGGGGCTGGATTGGCAGCCCTATGCTCTGCGGCCCACAGTGGCGCTCGTGTGGACGAGCGGCATCGAGGTGTGGCAGCCCATGCTGTCCAACGCTGATGCGCCATCGGCAATGTCCAGCACAGACGACCACACCACATACGACTGGGCGTGCAGGTCAGGAGGGAGGGAAGCAGGGTGGATGACAAACCACTACATGCGTCCCTTCTAGTTAGATGCACCTTATTCATCCTGAGTGAAACTTCCTACCCTGATGCAGGTTCTGGTACCGCAAGCCACGCGCCCTGCGAGTGTTGTGGTCACCGGACGGCAGGTCAGTCACGATGTGCAACACGCAAACGGACACCGCACCTACCACACATAGCGTTCCTTTCATTTCATTCAGGAGCCTGTTGGTCGTGACGAAAGGCGAGATCCTGATCTGGTGGGTGCAGCACATTGCGACGTCTTCGGAGAATCAACACAAGAGTGGATGTGGCCATATCATGTGTGGCGTCAGGTCGTCATCAGTGCTGATCCCTGAGGCGGCCATGTGCCTCGACGAAGCGATGCCAGGTCTGGATGGATGGATGGATGGATGTTAACATCAAACAAGACAGACTTTATTTCGCACCGCCCTTCCGTGTGTATGCAGGTTGGTGCGAGCCTATGCGTGTGGGTGGCGGCGTCTGGTTCGATGGCTCCGTTATCGCTGACGTAAGGTGGAATCCGACCGGCAAGAGTATAGCTTTCATCAAGACAAACGCAGACCGGTCAGTCAGCTAGGAAGGCAGCCCCTTAGCACAGTTACTCAACCCACCGCACCGCACGTATTCCTCTGCTGTGCGCACAGTTCCTTGACCGTTTCCCTTCTCGACATGACAAGCTCTGCGCGCGAGCGTTACAGCGTACCGGCGCCCTCCCCCCACATCACCCACGAACCATCGCACACCATGCTCGTGTGGACGCCTGACGGTGCGAAACTCATAGCGTCCAACAGCGAGACCCTCTTTGCGTTGAGGTGCCCGTGTGGTGTCCCACCATCAATGGTGGCGGGGCATCGATCTATGTCGGATGGACGAGGGATGCGCGGGGGCTTGGGAGTGATGCAGCGGGTGGGGCTCGATGAGGCGCGCTGGGAGGACAGAGGGAAAGCTTTGGAGGCGTACGGTATTCGGATGGAGGCCGACGAGCGATGGTCAGTAAGGGTCACTCGGCCACGGATGGATGCATCAATGGCGATGATGATGACAAGTGGTATCTACTGTGTCGTGTTGTGTTGGGTGCCTGCTTGTTGTGCGCAGCAAGGACGCGGCGGGCCGGCACTGTGAGCTGCTCAGCTTCGACATCGACCCATCTTGCCGCAGGCTGGCAGTAAGCACATGGATGGATGGATGGATGGCAGAGGTGCATCTTGTGTTGTGTCTGCTGTCTGTATCACACACCTCTCCGGCACCATGCTGTGCAGGTCATGTATGGGACGTCGGGGGCAGTATGGGTGTACAGATGCGACGTCAGCATGGCTGCAATCAATCTCATGTACGCACGCACATAGTGGAAACGCAGGCAGGTGTCCCCTCCCCTCCCCTCCCTCTTATTCGTCCGTCGGTGTGTGCAGAGGTGTGGTCAACAATGGCGACAGGATTCCCGTTGCCGTCCGGTTCAGTCCGTCCGTCGTCCAGTCGGCCTCACTGCTTGCCGTGGTAAGCTATTGAAGGGAAGGCTGATCGTTCATTTGTCCGTCTGCCTGTGCATCTATCTGCATGTGTCTGGTGTGATGTGGGTGCGTGTGTGCAGCGGTGGGAAGCTTCAGGGTCTCAACAGGGTGGCGCGGAGGGAAAAATCATCCGCGGCTGAGCATGTGGTAGTCTATCCGCTGTACATGTAGCCAGGGAGGCAGTGTGAGTGCCACGTAGCTAGTGCATCAGAGACATGCGCCAACCGCACGCACACAGACATACAGACATACGTACGTACATGGATCGATCAACAAACACATATGTACATATGTGTGTACACGAATACATGTACGTAATTCAAAGCTGCAGCGGCAGCCAGTCAACCGGAGAAAACACTCGACGGTCGCCCTCGTTGCTTGTGTGCCTCACTTGTGAGTCTTTCACTCGTTCGCCGACCGATTGATTGCCTCTCGATCGATCTGCGGCTGTCTGTTTGTCTGTGTGAGTCGCCATGAGTGAAGACGGCTCGGCGGGTGTGCACGCTTCCATCCACAAGCAGCGGAAGGACATGCAGGCACGGACACCACACACACAGACACACAGACAGAGGCAGACAGACAGACACCAGACCATTCATCAATGTGTCCCTCTGTTCCTTTGCGGCGTGTGTGTGTCCGACATGTAGATATTCCACAGTGTGAAGGAAGACCTGACGGCTTTGATGCGCGAGCACACTGCCAAGAAAAGTACACGCACTCACACGCCGATCCATACACTGCACTGCAGTGCATCAACACACTTGTGTCTCTGCCGTGCAGGTCGGATTGACCAGAGTGCTGTGTGTCTGATCGACAATGTGGCAGCGATCGACAAACTCGCGCAGGAACTCGACAAACTCCAAGTCACCACACACACACATACACACATCTACGCACACGACATCCACTCGTTCATCCATTTCCCTGTGTGGTACGTTTCATACATTCGTTCGTGTGTGCATAGGAGTCGTTCACGGGTCACGAGCAGCGTGCAGTGGACCTGCACAGCAAGTGGCAAGACATCACGTGCAAGGTCGATATCGCATCGACGCAACACACCCTCTGCAGACAGGAGACACAAACCACTGAGCAGTGCATCCAACAAGGCACGCACACTCACACCAACAACCACCCAACACACATGTCGACGCATCCATCCACTGCATGTGTGTGTATGTGATGTGTCAGCTCATGAGACGCTGTCTTCTGCCCGTGACCGTTACCGTGGGTTCATCGATGGCTGCAAGCACGAGGCCGATGCCATCATGACCATCATCAACGACAAAGTACCAACACCCCACTCATCCATCCACGCACGCATCCATTTGATCTCGTCTGGTCAGCTCCCGTCTGCCTCGCGTCGCGCTGCGTGTCTGATGGACGCCAACAAAGCCCTCGCCGCGCAGCTCGACCAGTGTACGTGTGTGTACACAGGACAACACAAAGAGAGAAGAGGCGATGGACGGATCCATTCTGTGTGCATCTCTCTCAGGCGAGAGAGAGTTTCTGTCCAACAAGGCCGACAATCGCACAGCGCACAGTCATCTGTCCGTGTCTCTCGCCGACAAGTCGGCCGCCGAGCGTGACCGAGACAGCAAAACCGCAGAGCTGCAGTCACTCCACGAAGCGATGGACAAGGCCAAGGTAACACCACAACACACCACAACACAACGCATCCTCCTCACATGCGCTCACTCTGTTTTTGTGTGTGCAGGTTGCGTTGCGTACGATCGAGTCCAACTTCTCTCTGTCCTGTCGGGAGGGAGACACGCTCGAGAGCAGTTTTTCAGCGGCCGAGCAGGAGCTCAACGCACTCGAGACCGATGCAGCGATGGCAAACAAACCAACCAACCACACACCGACCACACATCACGTTTGTATCTGTGTGCCATTTGTGTGTGTGTGTGCGGCTGTGTTCAGCAAGGGCTGACCATGCAGCTTGAGTTCCTCAGAGAGCAAGACCATTGCCTCCAACAGGTAAACACGACCCACACAATTCACACACCGTGATTCATGTGAGGTCATGTGCGCATGTCAGGAGCTGGCTGTGCGTGCTGAGTGCGTCTCGCGTGAGGAGGCCAGACATGCAGAAACCGCTCACCGACTCGACGCGCTGCTGGCAGAAGAGCGGTCGATGAAGTAAGCGAAAGACCCATGCACACGCACACGGATGTATGGATGTATGGATGGTGTGTCTCGTGCTGTCAGGGTGTCTGACGTGGAGAGGGAGACGGCGAGTTGGAGCGAGGCCACGGCCAGTGCGCAGCAGAGGGCAGCAGTGGTGACGCACGAGACAAGTGACATCGCAGCCGAGCTAACCAGACTGCACGACGTCATCGCAGCGGTGGACAAGGCATCAAAGGCCTTCGAGCAGCAGATGACCGACAAACGCACACACCAACACGACATACAAACAAGCATCGACGGTCAGCAACCACCGACACGATACACAGACAGAGACACAGACAGAAACGTTCATGTGTCTCCTGTGTGTATGTGTGCGTGGATGTAGAGTTGGCTGGTGAGGAGACGCGTTTCGCCGATGAGCTGACAGATGTCGACAGCAAGACAAGCGCCATCCAGCAGCAAATCGCAGTAAGAAGCATGGAAACACAACAGCACCTTTGTGGACTTGTGCGAATGTGTGCAGTTGCTCGATGAGTTGGTATCAGTGAGTGGCCGACTCGACGGGGCAACCGATCAGCGAAAGGCACAGACACACCAAATCGACAACACACAGGTGCACTGCATACTGAACGACGACGCACACGAGGCAAAACGGCCCCTGTTGTGTGTCTCTGTGTGTCCAGAGAGAGTTGGCAGAGGTGCAGGCACGCATCGCGGAAATGGACGGTCATCCGACACACACAGAAAGAGAGACACTTCACAGTCTCTCATTCTGTGTGCGTATGTGGTGCTGATGCATCAGCTGAGATCCGTTCGTTCGACGAGGCCATGATGACCGAGCAGAAGAATGAGAACGCGGCCCGCGACGAGTGCACCGCGCTGCAGCGCCAGACGGATGGTACATTCCCCAACTGGTGAACACGGACCAACCTTGAAAGGCAACACATGTATGTCATGTATGTCATGTGTATGGTGTGTATGCCGGGCAGGGAGAGTGAGCTTGTGGCGAGGCTGTCTGCACTCGATGCTCGTCTCAAGCATGCAGAGCGGCGGCACCAAAGCCAATCTCACGTCTCGATGCGCATGGTGACCCTCGAGATCACGTCACGAGAGATGCCCTGTCCATGTCCCTCTCTGGCATGAGCTGTGTGCAGGCCGACGAAAGGACCCTGAGTGTGTACGCGCAGAGCGAGGCCAACAAACACGAACCCATCAGACGACAAATGGAGACGCAACTCGAGAGACAGATCCAACAAGCTACATACACGTGAGCGACCACACACACAAAAACACACACACTTGTGGATGAGTGCCTCTGGGTCTTTGTGTATATGTGTGTCCTTCCTTAGTGCGCTTGGTGGTTCGTTTGATGACAGCGACAAGGAGGCGACGGCCAGACAGCACGAGGCCAACAAGAAGCACTTGGCAGATGTAAGTGTGCACGTCAGTCAGCCAGTCAGCGAGGCACACGCAAACACCCCCCCACATCCACACAAGTGTCATCTGTGTGCAGCGTTGGTGTGGAGTGTTCGCGAAAGCGCGACAGGAGATAACTGCCAACAGAGACAAGACACTCGCCCCACATGAGGCCGAGGCACGCAGACAGCACATGCACACTGATGGGATGCATGGAATGGATGGTGCAGCGTGTCTCACTCATCAATCAGGTTTCATCTCTTGCGCTGGCTGTACGTCGATTGGAGGGCCGGCAGCAGCAGCAGCAGCAGCAGCAGCGACAGAGAGAGCAGCAGCGAACAAAGGCCTCACCCGCACAAGACACCAATGACGACATGGTAAGTCCCCCAACACACACACACACACACACATACACACGCACACACACACGCACATACACACCCCTCTGTCAACAATGCGCGCAGTGCAACAACGACGGACGCCCTCCGCCCTTGTGTGAGCCCAAAGGCATGATCTCGACACAGGTGAGAAGCATTCACTTGCCGCTCACTTTCCCCTTTCTGTATTCCCACTCTGCTCTGCTGTGCTGTGCTGTGTTCTCCCACGCAGAGCAAGTACCAGCGTGGCCGCGTCATCGACAGAAAGAGAAAATGAAGACGACACACAACACAGACAGACAGGCAGGCAGGCAGAGGGAGACACGCAGACTGATGGACACATATATGATCCATGGATGGAGAGCGAATGTGTGTGAGTGTTGACGGTGGCTGCATGCATCGCATGGACGGATGAGTGGACGAATGGCTCATAAATGAGTGGAGTCGCGGCCATACTGACTTGCCAATTAGGTTGTTCGTCTCGTTTCATACTCACACATCGCACACTCCAGTACTCGTCCACCCATCCATCCACCCATCCATCCCTCCACCCATCTACATATGAAAGCCCTCCGCTTCGGCAATTGCGCCTCGGCGATCGGGATGAAAAAGACGGCAACGATGGAGCGTGCAATTCGTATATGCGCGGTAGCGGCGAGTCCCAATGCGCCCACGCCTCTTACCGTCACACATGTATAGTTGTCTCTCGGCTAGACAGACGCACCTGCAATGCCCTGCATGTATTCTGTTGAAATGTACGCCGGCATCTTGGCTTTACGACATCGATGCATATGGGAGACATCGTTATGCATTCATTCACGTACAGTATTCATGCGATTCATTGTTTGGCTGGTCTCATTTATTCCTTCATTCATTCATCCACTCACGTACGACAGCCATCCATCCATGAAAGATTCACCCACCACTTCCACCGACTCTCTTCCGTGCTTTCCTCTTTCCTTCTGTCTCTGTTTGTGTTTCTTCATTCGTGCGTGTGTTGGTTGTCGTGCATCTGGTCGAGCAGTGCGGTGCATGTGCTGATGAGTGCAGCGGTGAGGTGTGTGGGGGGCCTGTGCGCGTTGCCGCCACTCGCCTCTCGCTCGATCGCAGACTTGAGCAGACGGAGACACTCCTGCACACAACACAAACACACACACACATACACACGTGATTGCCATCATCCACAACCAAGACAAGACACATGGATGGATGGATGGATGGATGGATACGCACCTGCACAGTGGGTTGGCAGTTGGGGATCGGCGTCACGATGGACGAGCGGCTGGATGAGCACAGCCCGCTCGACGATGCCTTGGACTTGTCGCTCTCGTCACTCCTTCGGCCCTTGACAGCCCCACACTGATCGATCACAGACATTCCCTGTGATGCTTGTGTCATGGTTTGGTGTGGTGTGGATGTGTTTGATTAAGTCACCGTTGGTTGATTGGCGTCGGTCTTGCAGGCGTGCTGTGCCCCATCGTCTACGGCCGTCTTGGCAGAGTCGGCCTGCATACAGACACACAATCGATACGCATCATGTGCACTCGCTATCCGTCCATTGCGTGTTGGTTGGTTTGCTTTGACGTGGTTTGGCTGGGTGTCTTGCACTTGAGCCGTGTCGGGGATCATCACGTCCTCAAATCCTGAACACACACACAGACAGACAGATCTTGTCTCGTCTCGTCTGGTGTGGTTTTGTGCTGGTTGCCTGGCGGCGGTGAAAGGACGTCAGCGGCAGAGCTCTCACACGCATCTAAGCAAGAGACAGACACAAAGAGACAGACATAGGTAGAGAGATAGAGAGATGAGGCCTGAGTGAGGGTTGGGAGGTGACCTTGCAGTTGGTTGTGTTGGTCGAGGAGTGAGACGGCCGATTGGTACTCGAAGGCCTCGTTGTCCTTGTCATTGTCGTCTGTGGCACCTGTGCGCCAGTCGTGCTGTGGCGCCTGTGCGTGGCTGTGGCTGTGCGGCTGTTGGTGTCGCATCTCGCCGGGGAGCAGCTTGAGTTCGTTCTGTGGCATTGCTCGCTTCACCTAAAGACAAACAGAGACACACGGATACACAGTCTGATGCTGGTCATGCACGCATCAGCTCCATGTGCATGGCTGGCTGACCTCCACCCACTGGCCATCAATCTAAAGAGACACACAGAGAGATAGATAGATGGAAGGGAGAACATGAATGGATGGCGTGTGGCTGCTGTTTGTTTGTTTTGTTTGTGTGTGTTGTGTCGAATGTGTGTGGGTTGCCTTGTGTGTGTGGTATTGGGCCATGATCTTGTCGACGGCGGCCCAGTCCTTGAGCGTGACGAAGCCAAAACCCTTCGATCGGCCGTCCTCACCTTGACGCACACACAGAGAGAGACACACGGATGGATGGATGGCTGGAGACACGTCATGGTTGTGTACCACGGATGATGGTGGCTTGCTCGACGGTGGATCCGAACTTGGCGAAGTAGCGCTCGAGTTGCTGGACCGACGCAGACGACGGCAGATGACCCACAAACACCTCTATGTATCGTGCCACACACAGAGACACACAGCCAGACCACGAGACAAAGGTGCGTATATTGCTGTGCGTTGTGGCTGTGTCTGTGAGTTGGGTGGCTGACTCTCAGTGGGGAAGATGGGGCAGACGTGTGGGAGTGGGGCCGGCGGGTGGGCGGCGAGAGTGTGTGTGTGGCTGTCGTGTGTGGGTGCGGCCGTGTGCAGCTCCGACGGGATGGCTGGCTTGACGTCCACCTCGCGACCACACAACACCTAACACACATAGAGAGCAATGGATCGATGTGTGGGTGTGTCAGTGTGTGTGTGTTTGTTTGCCTGCGGTGATCTGAGAGCGACTTGTGCGCCTTCCTTGCTGAGGACCACGAAGCCAAAGCCACGCGGCTTGCCACGCAAGTCACGCTTCACAACTGACCATTTGACACACACATTACACACACAGGCGAGAGGCATTCATTTTGTGTGCACGTGTGTGCTGGCCCGCCCATGCACTCACCAGCTCTGTAGCACTTGGCGAAGTGTGTGAAGTGGTGGTGAATGTCGTCTTCGGTGGTGGTGTGGCTCAGCCCGCCCAGGAAGAGCTTGACGCGATCCACACGCACCTCTCCACGCATCATCGCACCAACACCAGCAGCAGCAAGTCACAAACAAACAAGCTGACTGACTGACAGACAGACAGAAACGCCGGTGCAGGAGCGAAGCAGTCAGTCAGTCAGTCAATGGATGAGACAGTTAACTGGTGAGTCTGTCAGTCGAGAGAAACGATTATTTGGTTGATTGGTTGATTGATTGTCTGTCTGTATATGTATCGGTTGGTGCATGTATTTGTATTTGTATACACATACACATACACATACACATACACAGTCGTGTCTCTGTCCATCTCTTTCGCCGATCATGAAACGCACGACAACCGTTCATCGTCCTAGCTAGCCGCCAACGCTGCATCTATGCGCGTATATCAGGTGTGGATGAACCCCTCGACGGCCTCGATGAGAGTCTCGAAGCACTTCTTGTTGTAACAGTCGACGAGATCGAAGTGATCCGCACTCTCAATGCTATACAGACGCACACTCGACTCGTCTGCATGACCACACACACCACACACAGCACAGCACAGCACACGTACAGAGGCTATCGAACGAACGTGTACACGTGCGCCCGTCCAACATACACAGGTCCCCCATCCTCCCATGCACCCACCATTATGCGCCGCTATCTTGGCCTTCTCGTAATAGCTCTCTCCATGCGCCAGGGGGACGTCCGTGTCGCGACGGCCCAGTATGAGAGCCTGCGGCACACGATTCGGGAGCTGGTGGGCGGGGGATGCCCTCGTGTAGGCCTCACGCGCAACCGACGAGTCAGTGGGGCGCATCTGCACACCGATAGCATGACAACAGACAACCAGAGACTTCGTCAGGTACCTTCATGTATCGCTCCACCGCGTCGCCCTCGTCGCTCAGTTTCTGCTCATAACTGAATCAACAACAGTGATTGTCTTCATCTGTTCAATCCCTCCCTCCCTGCCGTCCGCCCACTCACCCTTCGATGAGGTCAGCCACGGGCGCAATCGCCACCACTCCACGCGGCACCACCGCGCGCCATCCTTCCAGCCCCTCTCGCTCGTCCTCACTCAGACTCAGAGCCCCATCGGTGTCGACAGCACCGGTGGCGTGCATTCGGTGGCACTCCTCCGCTGCCCACATCGCAAGGCAGCCACCCGCTGAGTGGCCCATGATGACCAGACGGGAGAGGTCCAAGGGAAGGGCAGCCGATGCGGGGTCAGCAAGGTCGCTGAGGTACCTGCATGTACACACAACGCACACAAGGCAGGGGTGCAGCAAAGCAGCGACAATGGTTGGTTCCTTGGAAGCGAGGTGAGATCACCTGAGGGCGAGCACCACGTCGACGTTGGTGCCGGGCCTGCATCATGTGATGGACACAAACACACCAGTGCACACGGCTTGGCAAGTACCCCCCGCTGCACTGGTGTCTGATGTGGCTGCCGCCCACCATCCTCCTCCCGGGTGGTCTCGCCGTCTGTACTCAACCTCCACCGCTGCGTAGCCTCTCCTCGCCAGCGCAGGCGCGATGCTCTTGATGCAGTACGAATCCAAATCATACTGATTCTTCCTGCAGCAGTGCACACATGCCGACGGTCAGCAGTCTGGGGGGAGGAGAGGCTTCGTGCCTACCAGTAGCCGCCGTGGATGACCGCGCACACGGGATGAGGAGATCTCGTCGAGTTTGATTCATGGATCTCGCTGCTTGTGGGCAGATGGAGGCGCACGAACTGCTCTGCTGCACTGCCATAGAAAAAAACACGCATTTCAGCAAGGCGATCTCTGCGAGCTGAAAAAGGGAAGATCTGGCATCTGATCTGCTTTCGACGATGAAGGACATTCACTACGGCCTCGTCATTGTATAAGCGCAGGCAGTGGAGGGCCGTGTGAATGCGAAGATGTGCTTTCCATGTTCAATGTGTGTGTGGCAGGTTGTGTGGTTTGGCTGTTTCACCGACATGATGTACCAGGTAGCATCAATGCGACGAACTGCTGACTCCTTCGACGTCGTAGGGGTGGTCGTGTCATCTATCGCCACTTATGTATTCTGTGTGCAGACAGTGATTGTTACGGTCAGCCCCCGGACGCTCAGCCTTCCACCCGTTCTGCACAGCCTCATCTTCATCGCACGACCAATCATTGCCATCGGTTTCGCGCCCATCGGTACGTGCCAGCAGAGGGATCGTGTGTTGTGGTACATTCATCCAGGATTTCCCTGGCTGTTTGGGCTTGGTTCAGGTGGAATAATCATCGACAGGTACGCCGGCCGTGTGAATGCTGCCATCGATGTCGCTGTCTGTTGGTCAGGGTGGGGTGGAAGAAGATGCTGGTCGTGCCGTTCGCCCTGCTGGCGATGGGTGGCCTGTGTTACCTTATCAAGGTGAGTGAGCCATGCCTGCCAGCCTGCCTCGTCCCGAGTACACTGCTGGCCGCTGTGCCGCGTACGTCTGTGCTTTAGGATTCCCTCGCGTCTTACATCGTCGCCAGAGTGCTGCAGGTGACACACTGAATGCCACGTAAACATGGAGTGCATTATCGTCTCTGCTTGCCGTCTGTCTGTGTCAGGGTTTTGCGTCATCCATTTTGTATCCCGCGGGCTTCGGGGCGCTGGCACGCACTCACGTGAGGCATTTCTGTCGTGCCTTGGCCAGCGTGAGGCATGTTGTATCTTGCTTGTGTCTCTCCATTCACCTTAGGACAAGTCCAACAGGGCCACCGCAGTGGGCATTGCGCTCACGGGTGACGTCGGCGCTATTGTCGGCCCGGCAGCTGGAGGTTTCCTCTACGACGCTGCTGGCAGCAAGTGCGTGTGGGGTGTCATGCTCGTCCTTGCCTGTGGTTCCTTGGCCGCCGTGGTCTTCATCGCGGCGACCGGGCGCTTTCCCACCGAAGAGGGCAGCAACGCGCAGCAGCTGGCACACGAGTGAGTGAGACGACGGCCATTTGTGCACGAGACAACGAGGAGGCATCACAAGTTTGTTGCTGGGTGGGTGTGGTGGCAGCTTGCCCGATCTGGTGGTGCCGCTGACAGAGGAGGACAAGCCGAAGCGGCAGGGCTACGCCGTCTTTGCCAATGTCCATTTCATCACGGCAATGCTGTGTGTCACTCTGCCGTGGGCCGCAGCGTCAGCTCTGCAGGTATGCGTCTCCGCACTTACGTGTACGCGCCAGGACATGTCACGTGGTGGCATGTGTGTGCCGTTGTCCACAGGCCCTGTTGCCCCTGTATTGGCGGGACGCCTATGGCCTGTCTGCCAGTGCCACCGGCGCGCTGTTCATGCCGCAATTCATCACTAAGATCACTTGTGGGCCGACCACCGGGTTCCTTATAGACAGGTACGTACGTCCACACACGAGTGGACCACACTCCTGTCTGTCTGCAGAGAGGTTCCATGTGTGCAGGTTTCAGCTGCGTCCGATGATGTTTTGTTTGGTTGCGTCGGCGTGGTGCGCGCTGTGCACGATTGTGATGGGGTTCTCCCTGGCCTCGTCGTCTCTGTCGACATTCCAGGTGACGGTGCTGACCCTCTTCGGTGTGGGGCTGGGGTCCGCCGAGACCAGCGCATTCGCATTCGCATGTACGCCACTGACTCACTCACTGACACGCCCACAGACGCACACAGAGGGGACAAAGGAGGTGCTTGTGGATCTGCGTATCGTGTGTGTGGTTGTGTGTGTCTGTAGCTTCATGGCTGCACGAGGAGGGCATTGAGGACCACGGGAAGGCCTTCGCACTGGAGGAGCAGACCTTCAATGGCGGGCTGATGCTGGGCCCCTTGGTGGCCTCCCCCCTGGTGCAGCTGCTGCACAACGACTACGCCCTCTCATTTGAGCTCATGGGCGTCCTGCTCATCCCCATTGCCTTCATGTGCCTCTACTCAATCCGCACTTACAAGCCGCCAAAGCAACCAGCGCCACACGAGCACCTCCCCCCACAATGGGTGCAGCTGGACCACCATCAGCAACAGCAGCCCCAGGAGCCCTCCAAGCCCATCCAGCGCACTCTGTCGCACCCCATCGACATGGAAGCAAGGGGAGATGACAGCACCGAGAGCCCCGCGCTGCGGCTGACTCGACGCATGACGATGCCCATTCGGCTGACGGCTCCCTTGTCTGTGGAGGTGCATCGGGCGGCGCGGCTGGCTGCCATCGCCAGCTGCTCGCCGGCGGCACGGCTGCAGGTGCAGATGATGGAAGACGAATCGCATCTTGTGGACCAACACGGAGTGAGTCAGTGAGTGAGCAGCGTCACACGGTTACACTGCATGTTGATGGATGGATCTTGGCCGTGGTTTCCGTGTGTGTGTCTGTGCAGGTGACGTACGCGTCAGGTGGCTGACAGAGCCGCCCTGCCCTGCCCCTGTCTTATTGGGTCGATGATGTGTTTTTCTCGTCGATCCATGTGGATGGAAGGGAGAGCATGTAATAGCTGTGTATATGCATGTTTGCGAGTATGGTGGAAAGTGGGGGAAACCGCTCAGTTTGACGTGCATAATTTTGTACCATGCGTATAATATGTACACATGGGCACACACACATTCAGGGGTACATGCTTACATACGTACATCGGCTCGGTGCGATGCAATCCCTTGAACCCAACGGTATGCGGCCACAGCCAGCCAGCCAGCCATTTATTGCAGACTGCTGCTTTCCGTCATCTTCATTGATTTCTCCACCGGAGGTCTCGTTTGTTCACAGACCAATGCGGGCACACGCGATGGGCCGCGCCCCGTGTGTGTCTCCATGTTTCAATCCACGTGTGGCTGCGCCGATCGGTGGCCAACGGCCCACAGGTAGATACACGCGCAGACCTGACATACATGTATCTACGTGTAGACCCATGCTGCTGCTAGGGCCAGTGATGGAAGCGGTCCCTCCCTTGCAGATCCTGTCCCTCGACAAGAGCTCAGAAAGTCGATACATACGCAAGCTGAAAAGGACTCCAGGAAATACACCGCTGCAGGTGCCGATGCTCTTGTTACGGTGCGAGTGACACGGTGATGAAAAGATACCAGGCAGTGTAGTGTGAATGAACTACTCGTTGCTGTGGCGGTGAGCAATAAGCATATCTTGCGTCTGTACGAGCTCCTGCACCCACCCAACGACACAGCAACAAAGGCTCCCTGTGACTGTAGTGGATCTAAGTGCCCTCACCCTCACCCTGATCAGCCGGTCGACGGACGCGTCCGCGATGGTGTCTCTGGAGCCCCGCCTGTGGCGGACGACAGTCGGAGACGGCTCCTCCTGTCCAAAGACGTCGTACACCCGGCTCCCCCTCCTCTCTCGTTTGTATGTGGTTGGGCCGAGCACCCCCTCTGTCTCCCTCGTCGCTCACTCCTCCGCCCCCCTCCTCATCGGCACTGTCGACCAGCGACGCGCGTCGCTGGTCGGCACCAGTGGCGATGTCGTTTGTGGCTGCTCCTACCCCAAGGGGAAACACACTTACGCGTTTCTTTGCCTCCGGGGATCTGTCTGAGCTGGCGCGGGGCGAGCCAGGGTGGATGTTGATGGTGTGAGGCGATGAGGCCTGGTATTTCTGGACCTTCTGAGGGTGCGTCGGCTGGACCTCTACGTTCACCCTAGCAGCAGCAGATTGGAGCTTGGAGGGCAGCATGCCCGGAACACCACTCGCAAAGTCTGCATGCAGCGACGTGTACCGCCTGAATGCAGACACGCACATACGTATGCACCCATTCCATGGCTTCGCTCAAGCGGTCGTCGGAGTACCATGCGTAGTAACTGTACAGAGACCGAACGCATCGCTCCGTCCTGTGCGAAGTAGTTAACAGAGACACCGCATGTCATGTGTGCGCATGTGTGTCTGTGGTGTGTGTGTGTGTCTGTGTATGACACCTGTCCTTGAAGCACGTGTAGTCCTTCCAGTCGCAGTAATTACCGTGTCGCCATCAATGTCCATGTCTGCGCATGGAGACACACGGCAGCCACACCTCTCTCTCTTGGCGTGAGGGAGAAAGGATGATTCACCTTCTAGCTCCGCAATGACTTCGGGTCTGGGCGGCCAACGGTTGCGTGTTGCGGCCAACGATTGTATGATCAAATCGAAGCTGAACAACATTCCTTCTAAACCGCCATTCATCAACCCATCACCCCCCCGGGCACCTGTCGACGAGGATGTTGTTGACCTCGCATTCCATCCCCTAGCACAAGAATCACAGGCAATGATAGATAATCTGTGTCACTCATGTGGCGTTTTGATGCGTGTCTGGACCTCGAGCTGATATTTGGCCATGTCGTACTTCTCAATAATGATGGCGACGAAGAAATTGAGGAGCTGGCAGACGGCACATACAGACATAGATATTCAAATGCTGTGCTGCATTTCACACTGAGCTGATCTGCCCGTCTCGTTGCTTACAATGAACACCACGACCAGCGCAAATATAACGAAATAGACAATCAAGGCTGAGTCATTTGAGTTGGTGATCTCCGCAGGCCAGGAACCGACGAGCATCTGCCAAACCAAGGAGATGGATGCGAAGGAGGTGAAAGTCAATTCTTGCCTCATACATCCAGCAGTGTTTCCCAAACAGACTCAGCCAACCTTGAATTGCGTCATGAGGCTCTCAGCAATGCTTGAGAAGGTAAAGAAGTGCATCCCGAATTGGAAATAACCCTGACAGAAGACGCGCCCATGGACGCAAGGCCTCTGTGCATCGGTGGCCCCGTCTTACGATGAAGGCTAGGATGATGTATAGCCTTTAAAGAAAACCAAAGTGCGCATGTGTATTCCGAAGACAAAGCATGGTTCGTGGCGTCTCACATCAAGAAGGTTAAGAGGAAGTGGAAGAGGTCGTTGGATGCCAGGACACAGGTGCGTACTAGTACTGCAACACGTGGGTGAGCGGACCTGCATCAATGAGACACAGACACACAAGAGCACGTACAGCAGGCAGCCAGATAGGCATGAGACGTGGTATAGATGTGCGTGACGGACGCACATGTAGACACAGATCCTGGCGAAGTACAGATACCTGTATAAAACACACACACATACAATCAAACAGCGTGATGTTTGGAAAGACAGGCGTGGAAAAATGTCCTGTTTACAGGAGAATGGCGACGATCGTCTTGGAGACAAGCAGGATGTTTGTCAGCTGCCAGATATCTTGTAAGGCCTCGAAGAATTGCCGGAACTTTTCTTCGGGAGCGATGGCTTCGGAAGTCCAGGGTATCTGTCCAACACGGTACACAAATTAGAGAGCAGAGACGCATGCCTTGATGTACTTTCCAGCTAACCTTGATGATTTTCGTAAAATAGGTGTTGAAGAGCTCCTCGCCTTGTAATGAGCTGAATGACAGGCCGAAGGTGAACCAACGAAGCACGTATACGTTGTGGAAGTGACTTACAATCGGCTCATGAACATGCTGCCCACAGCGACCATGAAGACGATGCCCAAGAGGAAGTCGACAATACACCAAAATCTAGTGATGCCTATCCGCTTTTTGACGGCACTCCTTTTCCGCAGAAACAATCTGCATTGCTGACGGCTCTCTTTCCAGACAGACTAGCATGGTAAGACTTCTTACCTGTAGAAAGCCGCGGCCAGCCTGATCAGGACAAGGAAGGAGACGACGCAGATGAGGGTATGGAAGAGGAGCTGCTGCGGGATCTGTCAGACACCGAGGACAGACACGGACACAGCCCGATTTGTACAGGACATTCCTGTGCGGTCGATGTAGCAGGGGTGGTCTACCGAATGCACACTGTCAAGGGAGTAAGTTGACACAATGCGCTCTTGCTCAAGCGAGAATCGAATGGTCACTAGTGTGCCAATTCGTAAGGTTGGTGTGTAAAATGACATGATGACGGACACCTGTCTAAAGGACCACACACATCGACCGGTGTGCATGGATCGCACGCCTCCGCGTGCGTACCTGGTCTTGATATCGATCCAGTTTCTCGTCAACCGCGTGTCGCCTGCTCCGCGCTTGATGATAGACGAATCAAATACATGGAGGAAGTCGGCGTACACTAGGTTCCCCTGCATAAATTCCCAGACACATACACACCGCTCAGCATGAATGCATGATCACATACCGCTCTTATCGTACCAAGAAAGTCTGAGGCTTGACCCCATAGAACTCCGATGTCTCGGTCTGCTCTCCAGTGCATGCGTAATTGGTGCTACTCTCTCCGTCACCGATGGACGGAAAGGTACACGAATACACTGTGGTGCAGCGCTTTGTGAACTGCGATGAGAGATAGGATTCTAGCTGGCGGGAAAATGAGAGCCCTGCGTCACACCTCATGAAGCGCATCGAGACCTCGCAGCCCAGCTGGCGTACCTGCGTCACATCGCGATGTCTTCACACGCTCCTGACAACCCAAACGCCAATAAACGCCAAGAACAACCGAAAAACACGTGAATGTCACTGAATGACCAGAAACGCATGACCAAGCTGACTTGCACCTGCAGGATGACGGAGGGCATGATGGACACCGTGTGTTTTGGGTATTGGTCGATCACAGTTTCGACCTGCGATTGTGCAGGAACGTCAGCCCGAATGGTGCACTGGCGTGTTATATATGACCCTTACCGTGGATATGGGTGGAGTGGGTAGGGTGCCGGGCAAGAGAGGGACGCCGTTCTCCACGCCACTAAACACACACACAGATACACACGGCGAAAATTACAAGCCCGTCTGAGTCGGACTGTAAGTAAGGTGCATTGCACCGACACCAACCTGTGGAAATCGAGTTGCACTTCCTGCAGACTCAGGTCCCGATCCTGAAATTCCACATCCATGCAAAAATCCATTCAACTACAAAATGGAGGCTTGGTCTTGATCGATTCCAAGCCCACGTAATATTTGCTGAGACCACGGACGGACAGACATGCAAATACACACACACACACACACACACAGAGAGAGAGAGAGAGAGAGGCATGCAGGCTGACCGACAGACAGACAGGTCCGTGTGTACTTACTAGTCGAAGAGTTCCCCAACGCTCTCCTGAAAAAGAACAACACATAGACAAGGCATCGAGCACAAATGTAGGCAGAGGAAGGTCGTCGTGTGCGTCTTCTTCACTAACGTAGACGCCTTTTCCGCCGGGCACGGGCGACCCCACTTCTATGTGTGTCTCGCTAATGTATAGTTCTGCCCATCTCCTAAGGTCTTCTGGTGTCTGCAGTTCTCGGTGTAGCTGCCGGGGAGCGACGGTATCACTGTGCATAAACACCGCCACCAAAATAATCCATCGCACACATCCCTCCGCCCATTCGGGCCGTTCTTCCTGAATGTCTATGTTGTGTCGCCTTTACGTTGCAAAACTCAGTTTTCGTTGTGTTCCACCACCAAGGTGAGAAGTCAAGAAAGTCTCAAACCATGTATTGTTGAGCTTGCCTGAGGGAGTCCATACATGGCGTGAGGCGTGCTCCATGTAGAGTGTTGTGTGCCTCTGAGCTTGCCTGTGCACTTGTCGAGAGAGAAGCCCACAGGAAGGTCGATGGGGCTACTCGTACGGCCGTCGAGGTAGAATGTTATCGACCTGTCCTCAGGGAGGGAGTCTCGTCTGTGTGTGTGTTCACCCTTCATATGAACAGTCAGACGAAGCTGTCCTCAGTCATCGTCACGCCCACATCTGCAGACCGACGGACAGACAGACGCAAACACCGGTCGTGGCGTCAGTATGTATCTCACGATGCCAGTCCGCTAAAGGTGACTCCTGGGCGTCTGCAGCTGATAGATCAAAGTTGATCGGAAGCACCTCTGCAGGCACCTTCCGTGCAGACCACAGACAGACATACAGATACCCACAGGCACAGGTATGCAGGACTGGCACTTACTTCGATCCGGACATTGAACTCTCGCCCGTCAGGGGATACGCCATACTCGGCGGCGTACTTGGTGAAGTCAATGCCACTCAGAGCATACTCGCCATACTCCAAGCCCCAACGTGTGCCTGAGTGACGGCAGTCATACAAGCGTGTGCCCGGCGGCGTCTCTTCCAAGTGCAGCGTCGACCAGTCAGCTCCACGCCTGGCGCTTCAGTTAGAGGCCCAATGGCGAAGCAGGTCTTATTCTCCTGGTGGGCGTCCACGGTAGGCGGAAAAATTCACACATAGCCACCCAATTTGCATCTGCTGATCTCATTTCAGCTTACGCGGGTGAAGCGGAGCACGTGGTGAGCTGGGAATCCCCGCCTGCAATCATTGACAACAAAGTTATCGAAGGTAGAGCTTTTCTGTAACTTCGTACACCCAGGAAGACATCGCCCGTGAGCCAACGTTTCCCGTCGAGACGAGGTCCATGATTTGGTCGACGGTTGTCTTCACCGATGCCGAGACATAGAGAGATGTACACAGATATACACAGCGAGCATTGCAGAACCAATATCATAATGGCATCCCTGCAGGGGTCATGTGTAATTTCTTCCGCGCGTACATTCATGTTCGACTTTGCTAGTGATTCAGAGAAGGGCCGGTCGGCCCACACCCTGTGGATCTTGGCGGCAACCGACACACCAAATGGTGGCTGTGTAAACTTCCAAATTGCTGAATCAAAGCCAAATACCTTGGTCATGTAATCAGTCGCATTTCGACCAAGGAGTGCAACGGCTGGGATCCGCATTTTATCCAGATATCTGACGGAAGGAATCTGATCTGGATGGAAGGGATAATGAGGATCTCCAGGTACTCAGTTACTCAGTGAGCCATGTGTCGGCGACCGTTGGGTTGCTCTCGATCGCTTCTGCACGTACACAAATGGCTGATTCATGTTTGCGATCCATTCATGCGATGCGTATATGTCTCGGTAGATTATCAGGCAATTATCAGGTATCTTACCAAATGGGATGAGCTCCCCTTCGACGCCCAGCTGCCTCTTTATTCCAGCAAACTGGATTTGAGTGAGCGGTTCACCAACCTGGAAAAACATCCTTGCTTTTGCGTGCAGTCCTGCGGCTATCTGAAAGCCAGTACTGGAGTACTTGTCCGAGAAAAGCTGACATTTCGTCGAAATTCCAGTCACTGTCATTGTCGAGATCGAAGACGGACCACATAGGCGCCATAAACCTCAATGCGCACTGCGCACAGTCGACCCATTTGTATGTACATGGGGGTGGCCAGCGCTCGATGAACATATGTGATCCGTAACTTTTGACTTTTTCCTGCGCGCAAGTGATGGGACACTGGTCGACCGTCCGTTGAGAAGCATACAAAGAGCATTGCGCGTCATACGATCTGTACCTGACCACGCGCCGCAGGCGCTTGCCATGCTACCGAGCGTCCGATCGCCGACTGCCTGAGTGACCCACTTACCATTGGCAGTCTGAATACCTGCAGACAGACGGCATACGGACAGACTCGATTGACCAAGGTAAAGGTCGGTGCATGTGTGTGTGTGGAGGGGAAGACACCATACGAGTGTCAACAGTACATGAAGTCATGGTATGATGGGTCGTCAAAGCATTGGTCCACCAGCTGCAATAAATCTTCAGAGTCGGACTCAGTTGCAGGACTTATCTGCAGGGCCCTCCTGGTCGTGTTGACGTCGGTTGGTTCGTCAGCTGACGATTGGTTTGAGACAAGGTCGTTTCTGAGCGTCTTGAAGGCCTTTTAAGGTGTGGACAAAGTGGCAACAGTCAGTCAATCGTCGTTTCCTCGACTGTTGCCGTTCTTCGACTTGCCTTAAGGAGCTCTTGCTGCTTCTCCTCGAGTGACTCGGTGAGGACCCCCTGGAGCTCGTCAAGCCTCTGTTCCTGGACGTCTTGGGTCTCGGCGGTGGATGATGAGCCCCCCGCATTGATCAGGTCGTCGAGGGGAGCGCCGACTGCACACACACAGGGGAAGGGGACACAAACCATTTGTGCGAAGGTCTGCTTCTCTGCCTCTCTGCCTTCGTGCCCTTACTTACAGAAGATTATGTCCTGTATCTCACTCAGCGTCAGCTCACGAGGAAAGTAACTAACCCAGCCGTAAGCACAGAGGACAAGAGGGTAAATGACATTCATGCCATGCTGACAGGGGGGTCCACCCTGCTGCGTACCGCACATCAGCCAACTGGCCCTCGTGGGTGTCATCGCCTGCCGAGCCCATACACACACCACACCCGATCATCCAAACGTGTGCAGGTGGCGGGCAGGCAGACACCATGAGTGCGGACAGATGTCTTCCAGCTGCTGCCTGCACTCACCCACGTACAGGCTCCCCTCCAAGCAGTCTGTGAGTGTCTGATGGAATACCGGGACCGTCAGTCTCCCCGGGCAGATTGTCTTCTGATGTGTCGGGTTGGGGAGGGTCTCCATCAGCTGGCCGTCTGCACAGCCAACACGGGCAAGCAGCCGCCATCCCTCCCTTTGTCTCGCCCGCGTATGCATTCCGCACCAGAGTAGAAGGATGACGTGGCGTTCCGGACTACCTGCCGTCCAAAAATGCACAGATACACACATGAGTGCATCACGCTGGTTGTATCTGACCACTGAAAACAAATGCCATTCTCCGTCCGAGAGCTCTGTCTCCAAATTCACCCTCAAGAAGTCGTCCATGGCACTGTTTTTCGCCTCGAACATTGCTCTCCTCCTCCGCTGGCTGCCGGTCTCCTCGAGCATCTCTTCTCTCGTCTGCCCCACCCAACGACCCAGAGACACACACATGCACACCCACACACGTACCAACACACATACCCCACACGTCACACATGCATGCCAACCTACCTGCTCAAAGTTTGGGTCTCTTCCCGTCGGACAGCCTCCAAACTCAGACGATCCGCCGGTGAAATATGTCGTCCTGGCCGGCGACCAGTCCTCCTGAGCCCGTCGTGTGGGCCACACACACACACACACATGTATGTATGTATGTATGTATATGAATATATGTATAAGTATTTATGGAACCTCACACAGACACATGGCCCACCTGCAGAAGGCCTCGAGCCACATCGGTCACCTGTGCATGCATTGGAAGTACGTCACGAAAAGCACTCAATGTGTGTTGGATCCTGTGTATGCATTTTCTGGATGCGGCCAACTGACGAATGTCGCGATGAGTCGTCCTTCGTGAGCGCCATAGGTGACGCCATCTATGCCAATGCGCCAGCAGGTGCTACCCAGGCCAGTGATGGTGCGCTCCATCCGCTTCTCAATCACAGTGAAGCGCGGAGACAATGTCTGTATTCAACACGAGGGCGGCAGAGCAGACAATCAGAATGATGGCATATCCGTATGCGTGTGCGTGCGTCTATGTCTAATGTGCCGTGCATTCTGCTCACTTTGACCCACGCGGTCACACTGAATGTTTCGAACAGCTATGTTTGTACAGGCAGAAGCCAGAGCAGCCGCATGAGTGCTTGACTGCCTGTTGGGTGATCGCCCATGGCAGCTGCTTACTTGAAGGGGGTAATTCTGCAGATTGCGTGAAGGCGGGAAGGAAGCAGATGAGGGCAGGGCGTTGAGCTGAGTGGTGGTTGCGTCGTGGCTGAAGAATAGCGATGAAGAGGGGATGTACGTCTGCTCCGTCTTGGACAGGTTAGCGACGAAACTCCAGACGTGATCGACCTGACATGATCGAGCCGTCCAGGTCGGACATTGTAGGACACACTTTACTGCTTTATCGTCCGAACATCTGTCAAATCCTGCGTTCGCACACACAACCCACGTCATTCCCGTGGTCCGACAGACACGTAGGAAAAAGAGCATCGATTCACGAGATGTCCTACTACGGTTGTGCGTCGTTCCCCGCCTCTTACGCACGTCGAGATGGAATGCCTCCCTTACAAAGTCAGACCACAGAAAGGAGATACACACATACACATCGACAGAAATACACACGTACGAACTTGCTGTGTGTTCGTGCATCTGTGCACACCTCCCCTGCGCCACCTTAATGATTCATGCACCCGGTAGGCCTGATCTGTCCCGCTTCCGACATAGACGGCGACCATGAAAAGCAGAAAGATGAAGGATAAGAACTGCTCATGAACAGCAGACAGATGAGAGGAGCCGATCAATGGAGTTCATGCTGACCAGACACGCGCACTCCTGCTGGGCCATGTTTTCCTCCTGCATATCAACCGATGGATCCAGCACATGAGTCAACGGATCCAGTGCACCGCAATCCCACCATGGTGAGTCTGAATGTGAGCAACAACACACACCCATGCATGCGACAAGGTCTCGAATGCCTGCAGTGAGTTCGGCTCGCCTCTGTATGAAGGCCTCCCTCTTGAGCGGAACCTGAGCGACACAAGTAACAGACACTTCATATGCATTGCCTCTCGCTCGGTTGGAGAAAGGAACCCGCAAGTAGCCCTCTGCCGCCTTGTCGCCCAGGGCGATTGCCTGCGCAAAGGATGAACAGTGCACAGGTCGACGGTCCTGCACCGGGGGGTATGTGTGTAGAGAGTGTCGTGGATGTATGTATGTATTGCCAGCGATTGCTTGAGTCGGGAGGCGGCCTGGCTGCCGCTGTCTTCAACACTCCGCTTACTTCGCTGACCCACCGACCTGCAATAAGCGAGCGCGAGATCAAGACGAGCGACAGCGGCGTCGGGTGTGGTGTTGGGGAGCGGCTCACCCAGTGTCGAAATTGCATCTGTCCCCTCCGGTTGGTGAGGGCGGCGGACGAAGCGAACCCTCTGGTTCGTGGGTTGCTCCGTTCGGCTGAATCGAGTCCATCGTATGCGAATCAGCCGTCCGTCTGAGTCAAGGAGCACGGGCGATGGCTGAACAGAAGGAAAGACAATTTTCCCCCCACTAGCCCCCAGTCTCAGCTGGAGCGGAATCACTTCTCTGGGTGAGTAGATCTATCTGTTGGCGTGCTTCACACCGCTTATACTCCATTCAGTCGAAATCACGCTGCACGAGGGTCCCTCCTTGGTTGTGAAATGAGCACGAGGGTCCTCGTCATAGGTGCTGGCCCATCAGGCACTGCCGTCCTCTCGGCATTTGCAGATCTCAGCGCCCCTCTCGCGATGTCTGCCGACCTGGGAGTCGCCAATCTCGTCGCATACGAAAGGCAGGAGGTAGGCGACCTATACATGCGAGGGCATGCTCTCAAGTGGTTGGTTGTGTGTGTGCGGGTTGGCTGCAGGATTGGGGGGGGCAATGACGATTGACAGAAAAGGGCGGCCACTCGGCGCAGTACAAGTGAGTCCACGCAGCTACTCGTCATGCAAACGCCCTGCCCCACAGTCATTGATTTTGTCCCTTAGGTACATGTGGACCAACGTGAGTGATCCGGGGCGGAAGGGACGGAGGGAGAGAGGGATTTATTGCGTCACCAAACCGATGCAATACGTGCGAATCGGCTCTTTATGGTTGGTTTGTTGGCTGGTATCTGGGGTCAGGTGGCGAAGGAGATCCAGGAGCTGCCAACCTACACGTTCCTGGAGCACTACGGCGGCCCCTCGCCGTCATACATGAAGCGCAAAGAGATGGCCGACTACATCGCTGCACGGGCCGAGAAGAAACGAGTTCGACATTTCATTAAGTTCAGGCATCAAGTTCAAGACGTGACCTACGATGCGGCCACTCGTCAGTTTCGTGTCAAGATCCATGACCTCGCCGCCGGATCGACCACCATAGACACGGCCGACTTCCTCTTCGTGTGCACAGGTAGGTCACACATACACGCTTGCTTTATCGACAACACCAAGACAGAGGTTTGGTGTGCTCTGGTTCGTTTGGTGTCGGTGTGCACTGCCTGGTTTGTGTCTGTGTGCAGGTCACTACTGGTTCCCATGCCTCCCCAAGATAGAGGGCCTGCAGAGCTTCCCGGGCAAGGTGCTGCACAGCAAGGATTTCAAGGACGCCAAGGAGATGAAGGGGCAGCATGTTCTGTGCGTTGGGAATCACTACTCGGGCGAAGACATCGCTATCACCTGCGTCAAGTACGGCGCGACAGGTGGGCAGAAGGGGAGGAGGGGGAGGCGACACAGAATATGGCGCAGCGCATCACTACACATACAATTGGTCTTAGGCGCGACGGTGTGCTATCGCACGCAGAGGAGTGAGAATATATGGCCGGCTAACATCGACGAAAGGCCGAATGTACAGCGCGTTGAGGGCCAGACTGTGCACTTCATCGATGGATCGACCCTCCAACCTGACACCATCATCCTCTGCACGGGTACGGAGGAGGGAGGCGCTGCGGCAATAACCGCACACCCGGAAACGACAAATTGCTGTCCCGGTATGTATCTATCTCCTGTTCTCGTAGGCTACTTGCACCATTATCCGTTCTTGCCCGAGCCCCTGAGGCTGGAAGCGGCGAACGATCTCTACCCTCCCAATCTCTACAAGGTGCGTCACAGAGGCTAGGGTACCCAATCGACAAGAGTCAGTCGATTTCCCTCGGTGGTTGACATTCAGGGTATCGTGTGGCAGAAGAACAACCAGCTCTTCTACATCGGCGCTCAGGACCAGGCATTCTCCCTCCCGATGATCGACGTGCAGGTAAACTGCACTCACCTCTTGTCAACCAAAGCAACACCCACACCCACATCCACACCAATTATCTGAGTCTGTCTGTCCTGTGGTGCTTGCTCCCAGGCGCACTACGCTCGTGACATCGTTGTGGGCCGCATCAAAGTGCCCAGTGCGGCCGAGCAGGAAAAGGACATCCAGACGTGGCTGCAGAAGAAGGCGACTGAGATTAAGGACGCCAACTCCTTCATGTCCTTCCAGGTCAACCAGTGCACTGGTACATGTATGCGAGAGGCGGGACAATCAAGTTTGCTGTGGCGGTGTGTCAGTTTGCGTATGTGGCGGACTTGGTCTCTTCCTTGCCAGACTACCCATCGACGCCCGCCAAAGTGTGGGAACAGGGCGAGCAGCTGCGGGTGAGGGCCGGCCGACGGACCCACCCGTGGTCGCAGCATCACTCGAGAGAGATGATCATATTCTTTCGTGTGTGCGGGCTGCATGTCAGGCATGGTACGCGGACAAAATCAGCCACTGCCTCGCGGACATGAGGAACCATACGTACACGTCTGTGCACACGGGCCTTCAGGGCAAGAAGCCGCCCGTCATGTACGCAACACGCAGGGCATGATGGGCGGACGGCAGCCAGTTGCTGCATCGCATCCATACACACACTGCACTGACGTGTGTTTGTCTGCGTCGTGGTCGTGTCAGGTGGCAAGATGACTTTACCGACGAGAGCTATGACATTGTCCAGGGGGGTGTGGAAGCGGACAATTGAGTCGCTCACTTCTTTTGCCCCCTCTGGTGGTGCCTCGTACTTTTTCCAGGAATTGTACCGCAGACACATACGAATGGGCACATCAATGTGTGTGTGTGTGTGTTCTTTTTTCTTCCGTGAGGCAGTGCATCAATGCAGTCAGTAAGGTCGAGATGGTTGTTGGTCTTTCGTCTTCTTAGACTAGTCCGTAAGCGCGTCCACGGACAGTCGGTTGTCGCTTGTGCGCTGTGGTGAGTGAGAGTCGATTGGTTGGGTGCCAGACGGGTCAGATCGATCCGCGTGTGTGCATGTGTGTGAATGAGTGTGTGGTTTGGGTTGGGTGTGGGCCAAGAGTCAGCCCTGGGAAGACGGTAGGTTCGTCCGTCCGTTCGTTCATTGGTTGGGACTAGCTCGTGTCGGCAGGTAGGTACAGGCAGGCAGGCAGACATTTGTGTGAGCGTGTTGGGCGTGGTCCGTGCGTCCTGCACGCTGGGGGTCCACTAGGGGACAAACATACGAGAGCTACTTGAAGGATCCAATCCACGTTTGTTATCCACGTTTGTTATGCATCAACCCATCACATGAATGAAAGGGCGGCCATTGGTCCTCTCAATTCGCTGGTGACCAAAAATCGTGTTGTCTGTCTGTATGCTCCCACCCACCCATCCACCCACCCGCCCGCCTCATTCGCTCCCACACAGAGCGCGTCCGTCGCTGCTTTCTTACTCACTCACTCACTCACTCACTCACTCAGTCACTTGTTCATTCGCCGCCCTCGTCCTGCTCTTGATCGTCTTCCTCTTCTTCCTCCTCCTCCTCCTCGTCATCCTCCTCATCGGATGCCGGTGGGCTCTGGTAGACGGCCAGGTGCTTCTTCTCAACCGTCTGCAGCTCGCCGCTCCCACGCATCTTCAACGCCACCGCTGTGTGAGTGGGCGCGATCGTCAGAACCGTCCCCACCTCACCAAACTTCTCACGACCTCCCACCACTATCACCTGAAGCACACAGACAGACGCACACACAACACAGAGGGTGTGGTGATGGCTGCATAGAGGATGGGTGCATTCAAAGCGTACTTGTTGTTGGTTTTCCTGTGGGTCGAGTGGTTTGAGCCCCTTGAGTTCGATGGCGATGAGGTCGTCGTCCTCGTCGCCCTCGCCAGGAATGTGCACGTGGCATATGCCCTCGTCTGTCTTGCGCAACTTGATGATTCCCTGCACACCCACACACGCAGAGACGCAAAACAAGGGACTCGTGCGTGTTGGTTGCTGGCGGCTCATTCCTTCCTTGATTGATTTCGTGGCGTCTTACGCATTGTCCGTTGTAGTCTCCTTCGGCGGAGATGACCACCTGCACGCCACGCATCGCCCACCTGCCCTCGTCACTCTCGGCCGACAGACCGCCACCTCCACCACCAGGGCCAGCTGCTGCAGCAGCCGGGCCGCCCCGGCCCTCGTTCATCGCACCCGCCAGGCCTTGGTCGTGCGGGGGCGACACCATACCTGACGAACACACCACACCACATAAAGGGATGGACTCATTCAGGTGCCACGCGCCCAGTGAGTGGATTGAACAGACCCTCCCAACCAGCCCACCCAGCTACCCATCTCACCTCTGGGCACGTGCACGTCTGTCTGCGGAAATGCGGCGGCGTTGTGCCTGAGTTGTGGGCTGGTAGGCATAGGGCTCTGCATGCCCATGGCCCTGTTGTCGGCGGGCGTCCCACCCCCACCGGCAGACGGCTGTGGGAAGGCCGGTGACATCGGCATGCTGCCCTCCGGTTCGTAGGGGTCGCGCTGCTCGCCTGCCCCCCTGCCCATCGCACTGTATGGCGGGGACACGGGCTGGTTGGCCGCCCTGGGGGGGTCGCGGATGGATGGGGGCGAGAAGGGGTACGAGGGCGACTGGACGTTGCGCGACGAGGGAAGCCTGGCTGACGGGGGGTGGGAGAGGGGAGGCTGGCTGGACAGGGGGGCGCGAGAGGGGGCGCGGAACGCCTCGGCCCCGTAGCCAGCTGAGGGAGACCAGACAAGAGACGGGCAAGAAAATGGGTATGGATGGTACCGTGTCAGGTGGGGGTGGCGATTGGATTACTTTTTTCGTCTGGGTTGTTGAGGAGGGTGACGTCACGGCCAGGGAGAGTCACCGAACGACTCTTGCTGTGAAGCGTGATGCTGCGTGAAGGGAACAACCACCACCACACCGAAGAGATACAGACATGAGACGTTCTCTCCCCTGCGTCCCCCGTGTCCCGTCCTTGCCAACTAACGTGATGTTGTTTCTCTCCACGTCTCGAATGGTGCCCGTGTACCCCTTGTAGTGGCCCTTGAGGATCCTCGCGTCCTGACCGATAAAGTCGTGCTGCCGCCCCCTCCCACGCCCACCGCCGCCCCTGAACCCACCACTGCGGAAGCCGCCCCTGCCGTCCCTCCCTCGCCCCATGACGTCATCGAGCGTCGTCACACGCGACCCACCCCGACCGCCGCGCCCTGACCGTGCAGTAGCCGATGGGCCGCCGCCGTATTGTGAGTCGAGTACGGGCGACGTCGGTCCGATGACGCCGCCAGCTGATGCTGGCTCGTATGCGAAGCTGCCCGGGCCTGCTTCGGTGGCGGATGAGGGCCCGAGGTTGGGGGGCCCATTGACGGCTGATGGCCTCCCGCCGGCAGTGGGTGCGGCAAAGCGGTCGCCGCCGATCTTCTTGAGATTGCGGGACGACACCACGACGTATCCACCGTTGTCAACGCGACCCTTGACCTGATCACATTGATTGATGTGCATGCAGCGTATGTATGCAAGGGCCGTAACGCCTTCTCTCTCCTTGTGAGTCTCCCTCACCTTGATGAAGACCTGGCTCCTCCAGATGTGTTCGACGATGCCTGTGATGCCCGTGTGCTCGCCATCCAACACGGTGACGTAGTCGTTGGCTCCGAACTGCACACGGTTTTTGTCAGACGAGCGAGAGAAACTCGTCTTGCGCCGCTGCGCTGCACACACATAGAAAGGGACATCAAGACACACGTGGGTGGATGTGTCGGAAGCGGAAGCGCGTGTGCACCATGTGTGTCTTACAGATCTCTGAGAGCTGCACGGGCTGGATCTTGCCGTTGCTCAGGAGGACATGAAGCGTCCTGACGACCACACGACAAAAGAGCCAACCGCAGGCATCCGTCCAGCAACCGCATTTCCCGCGACATTTGTTGCCATCCTGTCTGTCTGTCTGTCTGTGTATTTGGCTGATAGACTGACTTGTTTCGTTCGATGCGTGTGATGACGCCCGTCTCTTGGTTGGTGAGCAGCACCAGGTGGCCCACGGCATATGCGCCCAGACGGTCCAGCCCGCCCACACCCTCGTCAGACACCAAACGCAGATTGGCGAAGTCGCTCTTCCACTGGTAGGCAGGCCAAGAGGGACAGAAAAGTCAGTGGGTGCGGATGTGATACAAGTAAGCACTTGTCTCTCTCTGTGCCTGAGTATGCGTACGGCTTTTTTGTTAGTTTGGCTGAAGACGGATGCGATTTTGTCGTCCTCGACCTCCACAATCAGACCGCTCTCACCTGCACAAGGACCGACCCACAGGCACACACAGATACAGTGTGGAGGGGAGGGATAAGTCGTGTGGCATATGTACCTTCGTTGACGCCCTGAATGGCGTGGACGTGATCGCCGATGACGAATATGCGGCGGACCTCACCACGCTGCACACACAAACAGAGAAGAAAGAAGCATGTGTCCGTGCTGGGTGAGAGCGCACGCGCTGTGTGGTGGTCTGTGCGTGGCTGCCTGACATCGAGTGTGTATTTGAGTTTGTTGTCTTGGTTGGCGACTTCGCTCTCCACAACCACCTGCGCACCCTCGTGAACCACATCTGCACACAACACACGACACAAGCCACACCAGCCACACCAGCCACACAAGCAAAGGCATCATCCACAGTATGTACGTATGGGTGTGTGGACGGATGAATGGATGCACACCTATGTCTGTCTCTCAGTGTGAGTGTGTGTGCATACCGACAACGTGTCCCCTGATGCCCTTGAGTTGCCCCTTGTACGCCACCACCCGGTCGCCGATCACGATGTCCGACGCCTTGTCCAACGGCTTGGCCGACACTGGATGCCATGCATGAACACACACGTGTCACATGAGTGAGTGCATCCCCTCACCCACTCGCCCACTTCCTCACCGTGTTTGTCTCTGAGTCGCTGCAGGTCGTGCAGTTCCTCGCCAGCGTCTTTGGGGTGGAAGTTGCGCTGCTCGTCGAGTGACGGACGCACGTCGGCGCCCGACACGAGCTGGCCGGCCCGCACCTTCTCGAGTAGCAGTCCGCCGTAGAACTTCTTGTTGAACACCTTGTGCACCCGCAGGTTGAGACCCGCCTCGTTGTGCGTCTCGACAATCAGATTGTACTTGCTCTGCACCTGCATGTATGCATGGGCCAACATACACGACCCGCACCACTCGGGCGCCTGGTGCACGCGTCGGTGTCAGATGTGAGACCGACGGGCTGACCTCTTCGGACTCGAAGAATTTGGGGGGCGGTCGCTTCTGTCCTGTTTTGATTCCGGCTGGTATGCGGTATGGCCTGCCGCCGTTGTCCTCCTCCTTCTGTGAGAGCTCTGAGACCTCGTGCCAGTCGATGCGGGGCTTGACCAACACCCACACCTGGCCACTCAGGTCGTCGTACTGATACACCTGCACACACACATACAGCCACACAGTCACGGAGAGAGAGAGAAAATAGAGAAGGTCAGTGCGTGCATGCTATCGTTGCGTGGGTGTTGGTGAGTGTGGTATGTGTGGGCAGATAGATACCTGTGCGAGGTCTCCGCCGTAGAGGCCCCGTTTGAACCGCACCCAGTCGCTCTTCTGGAAATCATCCATCAGCTTGCCGCGCTGCACGTGGACATTCACAACCACACAAAAGGGCAGCCATGTGTGAATGCATTGCTGTGCGTCCGTCCGTGGAGGTGGGTCGGCATGGATGCGTGGGCACCATTTTGAAGACTTGCTGCATCTCGTTGGTGGGCACTCGCATGATCTTGGTGATGTTGAGGGAACGGAACCCATACAGCGCCTGCATGACATGACATGTGCATACAGAACGTACTGTCCGCCCCTTGATGGCGTGTCATGTCGTGTTCTGTGGTGTCAGTCTGTCGTCTGCTCACCTCTCGTATTCTGCCGTCGTTTTCGGCCTCGACGTATATGTAGCCCTTGAGGTTATCCGCCGCGTACGCAGCAGTGATGCCGAAATGAGCAGCGTCCTTTGTCTACACACACACACACAGATGGAAGGAAAGAGGCACTCGTTCCAATCCATCACCCGGGCATGGACCCGTTGCATTTATCGTGTCATACTTATGACCTCGTTGAGTTTGGCGAAGAATTTGCGCATGATTGCGATGCAGACCTCTCGCTCCTTGTTGGTCTGGCGGATGGGACGAGACGCGCAGACACATGGTGTGCGTGGTTGTGCCTTGCGTGTTGTGTTATGTTGTGATGGGTGGTGTACCTCCCTGCATTTGACGAGCCATAGTTTGTCTCTGTTGAAGTCGGGCATGAGGGAGCGCGCATCCGCCACCCCAGCACCAGGGCCATCTGAACACCACACATGACATACATACATACATACATACATAGACACCACACAGACATCGGTCAGATAGCGAGCGTGTGTGTGTGGCGTTGTCGTTGGCAGCGTACATCGTTCTTCGTAGTCCTCCATCATGTCCTCTTCGTCGCCGACCTCGCCGATGTGCTGCACAGCACAACAACTCGACACGTGCTCACCAAGGCGTATGAGGGCCGTGCGTGGCGCACTCACCTTGAATCGCTCCTCCATGCCCTCGATGGCACGACTCTGGCAGACAGATAGGAGTCACACGGACAGACAAGCACCGAAAAGAAAGGTACCGAAACGCTTTGTATGGTGTATATGTGTGCGTACCAGATGGTCCTGTCTTCGGCCCCTCTCGGCATCGTCACGGTCACGCCGACTGCACTCACAGACAGAGAGACAAGGAAGCAACACGACCCGCGTACAGTAGACGAGATGCACTCCCCATCAATACGTATCGTATCACAATGTGTGAGTGCTCCCGCCCGTCCCCACTCACCGTCTGTCGGCCAGTTCTCTGTTGGATGCGGCCCTGTTGAGTTCGGCCTCGTCGGCCACCTCGTTAAAGAGGTCGTCGTCCTCCTCGTCCTCATCCTCATCCTCGTCCTCAGCGGCCTCAATGTCCAAAAACTGCTGGGCGCCGCCGCGCTTCCTCTTCTTGGCGTTCTTGCGGGCCGGGCCACTACACCACACCACACCCAGCAAAGCACAGACAGACAGACAGACAGGGTGGGTGGGTGTGATGGTTGGTGTGGTGGGTCGGTGTCTGTCTGTCTGTCACGTACGTTCCTCTGCCCCTCTTCTTCTTGGACTTCTTCCTTCTCTGCTCCTGGGGGCTCTCATCCTCCTCCTCCTCATCGTCTGCACACACGGACCAACACAGGAACGCCACACAAGTGCTACATCCGGCAATTGGGGTGGTGTGTGAGTGCCGAGTGGGCTGAGTGACCTTCGTCCTCGTCTTCCTCGTCATAGTCGTGTTCCGCATCCTCGTCCTCGTCGCGCTCTAAACCCTCATACCCACCACCACTGCCACCACCCGCATGGGCAGCAGCCGCACCCTGACAGACGTACGTACACCCATGTCCAGCCAACATGAGACGCCGTGCGGACCACATTGTGGTTGGTGACGTGTAATGGTGTCTTGCTGACCGGTTGTTGGTGTTGTGGGTGTGGTTCGTGTGCCCCTCCTGGTTCTCCTGACGCCGGGCTGCCGCCCTCCATGCCCTCCTCGTGCTCGTCGTCATTGTCGTCAAAGATGCCCTCGTCGTTGTCATGCGGTTCCTCCTCAGGCTGCAACAAACACACACACGCACACACATTCACGTGCGTGTCAAGGCGGGAGGCGCATCTATGCTTCGTCTAAGGCGTCTGACTAAGTGGAAGTGCGAGTCTCTCTGCATCTGTCTGCTCCCGTCTGCCCTGCTGTTCGTGTGCTGCCTGCCATCTCACCGATTCCATGATCCGCCGGCTACACACACTCCTGAAGGCGCCACCAGATCGATCACGTGCGATGAGCAGCTAACCACGGATGGAGATCACTATCGAGTGAGGGATGACGCCGCTGCCAGCTACGCAACGGTGGCGGCGCCTCCTTCTTTCCTTCGCGAGCTAGTAGCTCGCAGTTTTCTCTTGAAACGCAGTTTTCTCCTGAAACGCTCTCTCCTAATTCGGGAAATGAGGCGCATGAGATCAGCGGCCAGCGGCCTGCTTGTGCGGGCGCCTGTTGCCGCCGTGAGATCAGCCGCCGTACCCATCTCGAGATGGATCTCCACAGAGGCCATGAGGGTACGCAGGCGGGAAGGAGATGCACAGTGAAATGATCATGGCAGTATAGATAGCAAGAGGCAGGCAGGCAGACTCCCCCGGTGGTCTGCGGGCCTTTCACGGCATCGACTGACGTGGGACTGTTCTGTGTTTTGTCCGCCTGTGCGTTGCTGCGTGTGCAGGTGAATGCGTCGTTGGCTTCAGTGGATCCCGAGATGGCCCACATCATCGAGATGGAGAAAGACAGGCAAAAGAAGAGCATCGTACTCATCGCATCAGAGGTCAGCCCCTCTCCCTCCAAATGCAGTCAGTCTGAGTGAGGATGCACTCACTCGCTCACTCACATGCCTGTTTTGTGGTCCGTTTTGTTTGTGTGCTACAGAATTTTGCCCCCCGCTATGTGTTGGACACGATTGGTTCGGTTATGACCAACAAGTACTCAGAGGGATACCCTGGCGCCAGGTGAGCTGAACAGTGAAATTCGAGCAGACGGACACCGCATTGATATGATATGTGTGCACGCCTACGTGCAGGTATTACGGCGGCAACGAGTTCATCGACATGTCTGAGCGTCTGTGTCAGAAGAGGGCGCTGGAGGCCTACAGGCTCAACCCCGATGAGTGGGGCGTCAACGTGCAGGTGCTCTCGGGATCGCCAGCCAACTTCTGCCTCTACACGGCGCTGCTCGAACCACACGACCGCATCATGGCACTCGACCTGCCACACGGCGGACAGTAAGGAAACAAAGACCAAAGACACAGACACTTAGAGGGGAAAGGCGTGTGCGAGTGATCCTTATTCATGTTGTCTGTGTGTGTCAGTTTGTCGCATGGTTACCAGACGGACACCAAGAAGGTGTCGGCCGTGTCCAAGTACTTCACCAGCATGCCTTACAAACTCGATGTGGTCGGTCACGGCAACGCGCATATAGACTGCCTCGAATGCACTGATGCATCTGTGTGTGTGTGTGTGCTGGTATGTGTGCAGAGCAGTGGTTTGATAGACTACGACGAGATGGAGAAGTTCGCCGTTCGGTTCCGCCCCAAGATCCTCATCGCCGGCACGTCAGCCTACTCGAGAAACCTAGACTACAAACGATTCAGACAAGTCAGTCAACCGCTCTACCACACACATGGGCAGGTGCAATGTTTGCTTCCACATGTGCGCATGTATGAATTGTGCAGGTGGCCGACGACTGCAACGCGTGGCTGATGGCCGACATGGCACACATATCGGTAGGTAATCAAAGCGCACGGCCACTCATTCCACGTGCACATGGGCGTATGTACCTATGTGTGATGGTGTGTGTGTATGTGTGTGTAGGGTTTGGTGGCGGCGGGAGTGGTGCCTTCGCCGTTTGACTACTGCGATGTGGTGACGACGACCACACACAAGAGCCTGCGGGGGCCCAGGGGGGCCATGATCTTCTATAGGAAGGGGCAAAAGGGCGTCAACAAGAAGGGACAACGTACGTACGCTCAGACGCACTCACACACGACAGCCACACCCCAGACGGACGGGGGGGCGCATTGTGTCTTTTTCCTTCCGTTTCGTGTGTCCGCGGACATGTCAGCGATAATGTATGACATAGAGGACAAGATCAACGCTGCGGTGTTTCCGGGCATGCAGGGCGGCCCACACAACCACATCATCGCTGCACTCGCCGTCGCACTGAAACAGGTCACCCGGCCAGCGACCTCACAAGCATCGGAATTGAACATACCTGAATTTATTTTGCCTCTATTTGTGTGGGTCAGGCGACGACGCCCGAGTTCCGTGAGTACCAAGAGCAGGTCAAGAAAAACGCGGTGGCTGTGGGCCAGGAGCTCATGGCAAGGTAGCCAGGGGCACCGAAAGACAGCACAGTACAGACAAGCAGACATTCATCAACGCGCCCCGCATGTGTGTGTGGTCAGGGGTTTCGACTTGGTGTCCGGTGGCACGGACAACCATTTGATATTGGTTGACTTGCGGTCCAAGGGCTTGAGCGGCGCCAAGGCCGAGAAGGTCTGCGAGCTTGTCAACATCACCATCAACAAAAACACCATACCAACTGACAAAAGCGCTATGAACCCAAATGGAATCAGAATCGGTAGGTAACCAATGATGAAGGAACAGACCGACACAAATCGAAATCTCTACCTGTATCTGCCCCTCTCTGTGTGTGACTGATATGTGCTGCAGGTGCGCCTGCGATGACGTCGAGGGGTCTGGTGGAAGCCGACTTCAAAAAGGTGAGGCGCCAGTGTAGGAAGGAAACGACATGTGCGCGGTTCATTCATGTATGATTGTCGATCTGTCTGTGTGCGTGTGGAACCACCATTAGATTGGCAAGTACATCAGCGATGCGGTCGACATCGCACTCGATGTGCAGAAGGGCACAGGTAGGAAGCGCCACAACACCACCAGCCGACAAAAGGCACTCACAGAGGCACCCACCCACCCACCCACCCCCTTGTGTGAGTTTTGCTTGAACAGGTCCCAAGTTGGTCGATTTCGTCGAGTACATCCGCACTAAGCAGCCGCCTTCCGTGGCACAGCTGAGGAAGGAAGTCGAGGAATTCGCCGGCACTTTTCCAACAGTCGGATTCTAGACAGACAGACAGACAGACAGACCGACCGACAGACCCACCCATACATGTGTGCATCAATCATGTCACACGTCTCACCTGCGCACCGCACCTGGCCTCGTGTACATGAACGAATGAATGAATGGCTGTTGTCGTGAGTTTTTCATTCGTGCATTCCTGGATGGATGGATAGATGACGGACGAGTGGACCACGTGTGTGCATGGCAGACGACCAGGCATTTTTCGGTCCGTGGCGATGAGTGTGTTGTCACGTCCCGCTCGCTTGTATGGGATGACGGACACCGAGTTCTTCCCTACATGGATGGATGGATGAGTGTCTGGATGCCTTTTCCCCCATGTGTGTGCAGAGTACTGCTGCTTGCATGTGCCGTGTAGAGGCCTCATCATTGCTGCAGTGCTGTGTGGTGTGGTGTGTGTCATGTGTGTTCGGGCAGTGCCAAGCACTCGGACATGACGAATGACCGACACAGACGCTCTGCTGGTGATGCTGTCCATGTATGCGTGCTGTGATGTCAGAACGGACTTGACTGTGTGTAAGACGTCATTGATGATACATATGTGATGCGCTGTCTCCGGGACCAAACACAAAAACACAGAGTTGGCCAAGATGGCCGGCTCGCAGTCCTGGCCGGCCGCAACGGCTCCGTACATGCGTGAGGAAGTTTGGAAGTTCCCTTTATCTCCGACTTCCCTTTCATCTCCTCCACACTCACCATGACAATCCGACGTAGTACATGTAGTACGTGTGCGTTGATTGTCGGCGTCGGCAGTCTGCTTCTGTTTGGGGTGAGCGGTGAGGTCGCGTTTGACTTCGAACAAAATGGGGCGGACTGGTTCACGCTCGAAGACATCCCGGACAACGCCTGCGGCGCCACACTCAGATCGGTACGCACGCAGGGCCAAAACAGACGTTGCGTACAATAAGTACGTACATCTGTGTGTGTGCGCGTAGAGTCCAACTACCCTCTCCCTTCCCCTCCAACCAACGCTCAGAGAAGTAAGGCCTACCTACCAACCTTTCCCTCTCTCCCGGTGTTGAAGTGCTATCGCGTTCTCCTCTGATCCTCTCCGCGCTAAGCTCATTGTTGAGGAGGACTTTCGAGACCCTCAGCTGAAAGGACCGACCGAAACCCCATCCCACTCTACCAGGTGTGCGCCATTGTCGCTCTCTACATCAGGTGTGCGCCATTGTCGCTCT